AGAGATTATTAAAAGACTTATAAAGAAGAGGATTTTTATATAGCTAGATCTTTATAAGATTTATTATAAAGTTAGGATTATAGAGAGATAGGAGTAGAAAATAGTCTTTTATATAAAGTATAGGTTATTTAAGTATTTAGTTATATCTTTTAGACTTACTAATACTTCTATAATATTCTAGAGCTTTATAAACTAGCTATTCTATAACTATCTAGATATCTTTATAATAGTCTATATTAATAATATTATAGTATTTTTATAAGATAAGAAGGAGCACCATAAGTATGTCTACTTTATAATAGCCTAACTTTAATAAGTAAAACTATTTATAAAGCTAAGTAAGTATCTCTTTATAATAAAGAGAATTAACTTCTTAGGCTATATAATTATACTAGAAGATCTAGAAATAGAATCTTTATAGATTAATACTATTATAAAATAGCTATAACTAGAATCTATAAAGGAGATCCTAGTATTCCTAGGGTTTACTAACTAATATAAGAGGTTTATTAAGGGGTATTTATACTTTTTAGTATATCTTTTAGACCTCCTATAAAAACCTAGCCTAGGGAGTAAGGAGAGGACTCTAGAGAAAGAGTTCCTAATCCTAGAAGTAATAAATATCTTTAATAAGTTAAAGAAAGTATTTATAGAGTAGGTAGTCCTTACCTACTTTTATAAGAAGTACTACTTATAAATAGAAATAGATATATCTAGATATGCCATCTATAGAATATTATTATAGCTAAGTAAAAAGGGTTATTAGTAGCTAGTAGCCTTCTTCTTATAGAAGATATAACTTATAGAGAAGAATTATAATATCTATAATTAGAAACTCCTTATAATAATAGAATTCTTTAGGGAGTAGTACCACTACTTAAAGAGTTTATAGAAAGTTATTAAAGTTATTACTAATTATAATAGTCTTTACTACTTTAGGACCATACCCTAACTATTATAAAGATAAATAAAGTAGTTATAAATACTTATAGTATTTAATTTTAAGATAGTCTTCTATATAGGGAAGAAGAACCCTATAGATAAACCCTTATAAAGAGCTAATTATAAGAGAGAGGCTATAAAGGCTAATACCTAGAATTAAGGGGATAGAGACCCTAATATACTAAGATAATAATTAATATTTTATAAAAGAGAATATACTAAAGTAAATATCCTAAAGAATATAGAATAGAAGGTTTATATAGTACTAGTCTAAGGGATAGTAAACTTATAAGAAGGACTAGCTTAGAGAGCTAGTATTTATAAGAGTATCTAAGGGCTAGAATCTTATATAAGAGACCCCTCTATAGAAATTTAGGTCCTACTACTAAGATTACTTATATAAAATAAACTTATAAAGAAGGTCTATATAGTATAAGTAGGAGCTATAAAGAAATTATTATAGTTATATTATATAAAGAATATATTATTATATTAGATAAGCTATAAAGGGCTCCTCTATTATAAGAGTTTACTCTATATCCTAGATTATTATAGCTTAAGATTAAGTATTCTTATAAAACTCTATAATAACCTCTTTATAGGCTACTTTATAGAATAAAAGATAAGAAAGTTAGTCTTAAGATACTTCTAGTAGCTAGAAGTAAAGAATTTTATCTATAAATACTATATAGCTTATAGGGTATACTAAGGATTATAATAGACCTAAAGTAAGTAGTAAGGCTTACTAGACCCTATATCTATCCCTATAGATATCTAGATCTAAATTACTATAAATCTAATTATAGATCTCCCTGTAAGTACTTCTATAGTAAATTTATAAGAAGCTTTTAATAGTATCTTAGTAGTAGTAGACTAATTTAGTAAGATAGGCTATTTTATATCTATCTAGACTATCCTTAGTAGGAAGAAGTTAGTAATAACTCTAATCTATAAGGTCTTCTAACTTCATAGAATCCTAGAAAAGGTTATTATAGACTAGGATTCTATCTTTATAAAAGATTTCTAAGTAGATTTTATATTTTATCTCTTAATTTATAAGGGTCTTTCTATAGCCTACTACTTATAGATAGATAGCTAGATAGAATACCTAAATAGTATGCTAGAATAGTACTTATAAGCCTATATTAACTTTAGTTAGAAAGACTAGATTAACTATCTCCTTATTATAGAGTTTACCTATAATAATATATACTAGGTATCTATTAAGAATATACCTTTCTATATAGTTATAGGTATTAACCCTTATATAATAGTAATAGATTCTATAAACTAACTAAAGAGTAAGATTATAGAAGAGTTAATTATAAAGAGACTAACTAAGCTAGAATATACTTATAAGTATATAAAGGAGGCTCTAATAAAGGCCTAAGCCTACTAAAAGAAATATTATAATAAGAAATATATTATAAAGGTATTTTAAGTAGGAGACTAAGTCTAGATCTTTACTAAGAATATATTATAGATTAGATTAATTATAAAGTTAGATTAATTAAATACTAGTCTAGTATAAATTATAGAATATATAGGTAACCTAGCCTACTATATAAATCTACTACTAGTCCTTAAGATATATAATATATTTTATATCTTTATGCTTTATAAATATAAGAAGATAGAAGGAGTAAACTTATAGGAATACTTCCCTATCTATAAAGCTATAAAAGAGGATTATAAATACTACCTAGAGGTAATCTTAGACTTATAAGGGGATGAGTAATCTATAGAGTATTATATTTATTAAAAAAGATATATTAAGAAAGATAATATTTAGGAATCTATAAAAGACCTATACTACCTATAAATCTATAAAGACTATATAAGGAACCCTATAAGGAGGGGAAACTTATCTTTATTAAGGAGAAGATAAAATAATAAATAAAAAAATTATAAAAATCCCTAACTCCTAAATCTACTATTATAAAGGTATCTAATATTAAGCATAAGTATAATATAGTTTATAAGGCTAGAAGGATAGCTACTAAACCTAAGAATACTTAAAAGAGTAGTTCTTATAACTATAGTAGAGATAGTTATTATACTTCCTAGCTAGCCTACTAGAAATATATACTATAAATACTAAGCTTATACTTAGGTTATAGTAGATACTATACTCCTAGCTAGTAGGAGGTCTTACTCTAGCTCTAGTTATAAGAATAGTCTTATAGAGCTAGATATAGACTCCTAGCTAACTAGGTATACTAAAGTTATACTAGTTAATAAAATAGAGTAGGGTCCTAGTAATCTATACTTACTTCTAGCCTAATAGGGGTTATAATCTTATCTAGGGTAGGAGCCCTATAACTACTACTAGATTCCCCTATAAGTAGGGGAGGAACTAGACATCTAGGGGTAGCTCTATTATTAGGCTAGAAGCCTAGATAGTAATACTACTAGTAGTAGGTATAGGGGTATCCTAGTTAGCCCTAAAAGTATCTACTAGAGGTAGTAGCAGCCTAAAGATAGAGGCTCCCCTTATGATAGGGACTGGTTATACTCTTATTAGATTAATAAAAAAAGGCCTATATATAACCTTATATAGGGGGAGGAAGGCCCTTATAGAAATAAGAGAAAGAGAGATAGAAGGAGCTATAATAGTAGTAGTAGTAATAATAATAATAATAATAGGGATAGTAATAGCAGGCCTAGTAGAGGTAGTAGTAATAGGCCTAGTAATAATAATAGTAGTAGTAGATATAGAGGGGAGGAGTATAGTAGATAGTAATAATAATATAAAGATTATCTTCTTCTTCTTTTATAAGAACTATTAATAAGAATACTATAGACTTATAAGCCTTTACTTACCTCTAAGAGATTAGAGGAGATAGATAAGAGTAGAGATATAGAGAAGAATATATAAAAAAATATTTTTTTATAAAAGAGGGTTTTTACTAAATAAAGATTTTTACTAATATATCCTATTAGAAATTAGAAATCTTAAATAGACCTTAGGGGCTAAGGTCTTTTAAGAGGGGGGGGGGTAGTTATAAGAATTATAAAAGTTTATTATATATTATATTAAAGCTATCTTTATAAAGGAGCCTACTAATAAGAAGGCTCCTTATAAGAGGTTATATAAATAATTATATAATCTATAAAGATATAAACCCTGCCTATAATCACTAAGCTCTAAAGTTTAGTAATAATCTCTTTAAATATGGACACCTATATTTAATTTTATTTATAAACATTCTTCTTTCACACTAGTTTCTAATTCTTGCGGATCACAGATCCTTATATTTATGTTGGGGTGACATACAGGAGAGGTTATGTGACAGTGTATTAGGGCGCTAGGCTGGGAACAGCAAGACTAACTCAAACAGGCAATTCACAGATCCACCTGGACTGCTTACAGAACAGAGTACAGAGCCACCCCTTGAGCCATCCAGATTCCCAACGGATGAGTGGGGATGGAAAGTCTCAGACATCAGAGTTGATGTTGGATCATTTGATGATGCGCAATTCCCTTGCTTCTGCACTTGTGCAGTGAAGATGTCTGGCGCTGTGGGCTCCAGGGTCCGCCGTTAGAATGTGTTTCAGGTTGACGAGGCAGATGATATGATTTGATAGGTAACGGCCCGTTGAGCGTGAGCATACAATGTATATGATATGCTGTTATAGGTGATCTACGCTACAGATGATCATCAGTGGATACGGTCTCTGCTAGTGCTAGCAATGCCTGGTGCAGGTTCATGCTAGAGAGTGAACTGGAAAAAAAAATGGCTGGGTATATTTCTTAAGTACAACGACCGTGAAGCTAACAAGGGATAAGTAAATACAAGTGGCACGCTGATCCAAGAGGGGCCTCATGAATATATATGTGGAAGAGAAAGAGAAAGAGAAAGAGAAAGAGAGAGAGGGAGAGAGGGAGAGAGGGAGGGAGGAAGGGAAGCTGGATAGCGAGGGTATCATCAGCGGCCACCTAGCCCAATTCAACCCAAAAAAAAAGAGCAAAAGTCCGTCTTCAAGGTAAAATAGTACATGTATATCATCTCATGTCCGTTTTTGTTCTTGTGCGTTCTCATCCGAATTTATATATGTTATCTCGTCGTCACTGACGTCGACACATCCACCGTCTTCATGATTCCCGTCGCCTCGACGGGGATTGTGCGATGCGTCGAGCTGTCGCCGCGGATGGAGGTCTCGATCTTGGGCTCGCCCTGCGCGTTGTGCACGAGAATATCCTGGTCGGAGCTGGCGTCGAGGAAGCTCATCTGGTGCTTGCTGCGGCTGTTGTGCTTGTCGGAGCGGCTTTGCTTGGTCACGCGGCTGAGCTCGTGGGTGGAGGTGTTGGTGGCTTTGTTGCTGGAGTATTCGTGGTAGACGTTGCTGATGAGGGCGGAGAGGGCGGGGAGGCAGGCGCAGATGACGCCGATGGCGATTTCGGCGTTGCTGGAGAAAAGATGCACATTAGTCTCGGCTTGACAAAGGTGATGATGGGGACAAGCAGGGGGGAGACGGACCCGATCATGTTGATTCGCATAAACGAGTAGGTGCCGTCCTCGGACTGGCCGGTTCTGAGGATGAGGACGAGACGGACGACGCTGGATGCGCAGGCCACGCCGCCTGCGCCGAGGATAATCATCACGCGCAGTTTCTTCCGCATGGGCATTTGCAGGGTTAGGGTCAGGGGGAGCGGGACGAGAAGGATGATGATGTCGCTGACGACGCTGACGACGGCGTCGGCGAGAATGATTGCCGACTGGTCCAGGCAGGAGCCTGGGGTGGAATCTTCCCAGAATTTGGCGATGGGGTCGCAGATGCGGATCTTGACGATGACCGCGGGGATGTAGTAGAGCAGCATGATGGCCAGGAAGACATAGATAAAGATCACGGCCTTGCGGTACGGACTGAAGACTCTTGTCATGATCCAGAGCAGCGAGACTTTGGTCAGGAATGCCGTGGGGCCGTACATGACCATGGTCACGTAGACGGTCTATCAGGGTCAGATTTCTTGATTGACAAGCGGAAGGGGTCGATGTACCTTGTGGAAGGAAATTAGATTTGAATGAGGCACATCGGGCTGGTGTAGTCCACCGCCGTAATGTCCCACTGTCAACCAATGTCAGTGACCGTGCATTGAAGGCATTCCATGAGCTGGGGATACTGACTTATGAGAGCAATGACAGAATACATGACTCCCAGGAACTATATTCTCTCATACTCGTCAGCACATGCAATGCAATACACCTTTCTAGAATTCTGGATGGCATTGCGTACCCAAGCTCCCAAGCACGTCCCTACAGAGAGAGCAGTTAGCATATCTCCACCATGTGATTCTTGAACTTGTCAGAGCACGCACAGTCTTCTCTTCCGAACCCATGAAGAATAAAGACTCGGGCGTAGACCCGCAAGCCGAAAAATACCGTCATTGCGATGATGCATAGTGACTGTGTTGCTGTGTTCCAATTCTGCAGCGACTTGTCCACGGCACCACCTGTTGCGCTGGCAGCATCTCGCCCAAGCAACATTGCGGGAGCCATCGCTGGTGGAAAGTGGACACTGTGAACAATCGATAGGAGACTTTCTTTTCTTTTCTTTTCTTTTTCTTTTTTTTTTTGAGGAGATCAAGGACACACGGATGTTTCTCCCAACTGGGGGAATCCAGGGAAATAAGAGATAACGGGGTTGGAAAAAAAAAGAATAAAAAAGCATAAAAACCAAATTTAAGAATTAAAAATGAAAGAAAGAAGAGAAGACTAAGTGATTGACAGGAAGGAAATCAAAAAAGGATTGACGACATGGCAGATCAGATCATCCGACAGACAGGGTGTAAGTGCATGAAATGGGGGGAATCCCAAATCCTTTCTGGTGAACAAAGTACAGAACAAGTTATATAATAGTAGATAGATAGACTGGAGATGGATCCCAGAGGGAATGATAACAATCAGAGATTAATGAATAATGAGTGACAAAACTGACAAATTGATGATCTTCAACCCAGTGATTCCATCCAGCATCGATTTATCAGTGACAAGCCCTGGCTAGTCCGCAGTCCCCCTGAATGTCGGGAGCACCGTTCGAGTGGTAAGTCTACGATCGATGGAGCGAGATGGATAGATTAATACTTAGATCTAGTCAGTTAGCCGGCGAAGTTTCTGCAACCTGCATGAGCAAAGAAAGTAGAACTGGGCACGAGGTCGTACAGGGTCGCATATCTCGATCTGCTCCGTGGCTTGGATAGATGCATGCATGTATGTATATATGTATTTATGTATACAATATAGTCCGATGATCGTGAGAGCCAGCGTAACCCTGTTGGATCTTTGGATTTCTTTCCAGGAACGTGATGTGAAGAAGCAGGACAACCTAGATACTCACACCGCAATCCGCGGGCCAGAGGCCTAGAAGTCCATGACTACCCTAGGTGCTAAGTAGCTTGTTAGCCAGCATCTCTCCTCTTTCTCTCTCTCTCCCCCCCATTGGAATCCTCGGAACTGGAGCCCGCTCTGCAGGTCTTCACCAATGGCAGACAAGCCTCCCGAAGCAATGAATCAAGAGCAAGAACATTTTGCACACCGAGACCGGGTTGTCAGTTAGTCCGAATTTTAGCACCAAGAAAGTGGGAAGAAAAGATACACACCCATGTCCATCAATTGAAAATCCGCAGCAGGGATTGATTGCATCCATATGTACTGGGAGTTGGAGCAACTAGGATTGTACTGTGTATAGCCGAAGCGGGCAAGCTAGCGTTGCCTCCGACATTATTAGTCGCTAGGAAAATATGCTCATTGTTAAAAATTCCCAATTCTCGCTAAGTACAGAGTAGATAAAAGACACTGGTCAGTGGTTAATCTGGCAAATCAATCCGCATCAGGATTTGGCCAGGATTGGGCCCAGTCTCAGACCATCGAGGGGGAGACGGGCGGAAGGCACACTCCGTAGTCCGTACGTTGCAGAGACGGCAGGTACCGTGCTAAGCTATGGGACTCGAATCCTTCTCCAGTGGGGGAATGTGTGCCTTGACTTTTGAGAATTGAGACTCGAGGACTCGGGACTCAGGACTCAGAGCCATGACCTGCTGTATGCCTGAAACTCATCACATTTTCTTTTTTTCCCTTCTCTTTGTTTTTTTTTTTTTCCCCTCCCTTGTTCCTCGGAAAAGAAGATCGGGGGTTCCTGATTGACGGTGACAGAAGTCGGAGCCATGGTATCACGAGCGCATAGGCCGACAGTTCATTTCACAGATATCAAATAATGGAGACCTCGTGGACATCGCACATTTGAGATTCATACAGGTCAGAAAAATAAGAATACAAATCGAAGAAAAAAGAAAGAAAGAAAACGGACATTGAAGGGGGATAACCAAAAAAAAGCAAATAATTACCTGTATTTTTCTAACCAAGAGCATTCCCATTCAACGAATCAACTATGGAGTAGACTAATGCTTTCTGTGTCCCCTGAGACAACGAAAAGCATCGTGCTCCATACTCTCTTGTCACTTGCTCCTCAAGTCATGACAGTCCGTGACTAGTTACTATATACTCCGGAGTTCTTAATTATAGAGACAAATTAGCAAAGTAGGAGTATCGTGTCTAACTAACCACAGTAGATAATGTCGCAACAGAAAAAAAAAAAAAAAAAAAACTATCATACAGTCATCTCCCAGAGCCACAGCGGAAACTCAAATCCACTTGCCGTCCGCCGCGATGTGAGCGCGGTATACTCCGTAGGATCCATCATCTCAAATTCTCAATACTCTTTTCCATATCGGGGGTAGCGTGCATCTCCACCGTCAAAAATGATATCAATACCTGTAATTACATACACCCCGACGGGGAAACGGAAAATATGGTGAGGTACCTTACATGTTATGGCGTCCAGGTCTTCGCTTTCAGCATCAGCATCAGCATCGTATCTGCAGTCTGCACTCTGCAGTCTGGAGATACCAAAGCAAAAGCAATAACTATCACCAATGAGTTGTCTAGACTTTAGGCCCCCTCACTGGCTCCCCCTCATTCATGAAGAATGGAGAACATACTTTCAGCCCGGGAACTCTGAGTTTAATTCTCTCCCCCAGATCACTTGCCTACGGAGTACAGAGTACAGTCTACTGTGTACATCCACGGTGTCCGTTAACCTACCCCGAGTCCAGTCCCCATAATTACGAAAAAAAAAAAAAATCAAAAATAAAAGTTCAACAATCCACCCGACAACGGGTCCGAAAATCAAAATATTTCCCAGGCGGAGCTATCCTAGCCCCTCCCTTAGCGTCGGACCAGAAACTCTATTCCAGGGTAACATTGGTCGATCACTTGTGCAGAACGGAAAGTGCAGATGTAGCTTGCGCCAAAAAAAAAAAAAAAAAAAAAAAAAAGGTTTTCACAGAGGGGGGAAGATATCCCATATTCCATATTCAGATGTCCACATGGTCAACGGAGGTTTTTTTTTTTTTCTTTTTTTGGTACCACGAGCCCAGGCGTGAGAAGGAAAGAAGAAAAGAGTATAGAAGAGGGTAAGACCCTGAGAGGTATCATAAAAGAAAAAAAAAAGATACTTTCCACACTTCGTACGGGGAAGCTGCACCACAAACCCTCGAGCTCGGAAGCCAGGATCCTTGGATTTGCTTCCGTAAAGCTCTTTCGGCTATTGCGCACAAAGTACGTTTCACCCTGATGGAGCTTTGGCCTGCTGTCACTGTGAGCCTACAGTGTACTCTGTACGGATGCCGTATGGCTCTTGGGACTAGAGACTGGGAGGATTCATGTCGCTGCTCGCTAGACTAGGTCTTCAATTGCAATTTAGTGAGCGATAATGCTCCAGCCTCCACCACCGGTGAAATTTGGAGTCGGGGGAGCTTGCAATTTGATATTGCTAGGAGTTTCGGTTTTCACTGTGGGCCACTCTCTTAGGTAGCTCACAAAGAGGGCATTGCGCGATGTTTGTCCAAGTTGCCACGGTGGTTGGCTGTTAATCCCTCAAGTCAGTCGAGTTTGTCGCAGATTGAAAAGTATTGGCTTGAGAGCGAAGAGGAAATTCAATAGTTGGCTTTACATTGGCTTGGACTATCTGAAGCTGGCAGATTGCAGACTACCAAGTACCAAGGGCGAATTATGAAACTCTCTGTTCACAGGTTAAGGAGTCAACCTTCCGAGTTGATGCACCATGCATGAGTTAAATAATCGCGTACTACAATACCTAATTTCTAGAAGATTGCCATCATGTTGGGAGGAGAAGATACCCCACCAGGCATGTTCAAAGGCACAGAGGCCACGAAGAAACTCCAGCGCTGGAGCTCTTGGCAAGTGCGAGCAAGCGCTTCCAAGTTGAACAGCTCCCCTGAGAATTGGGACACATCAGCTGGCGAGCAAACAACATATGATTGTCTCCGCCGAACTTACCGATAGGCATGCCCCATCCAGCAAGCACGTACTCGTGCAAAAACAAATCCGGGTTCTGTGGTGGATAAACCTGTCATGCATCATGCCATGTGTTAGCTTGCAACGGTTGATCTCTCACCTCAGGGCCCACACGTTTCTCGCTCCAACGGTTCCTTATCTCACCTCCCAACTGATAGCGTCGCTGGCGATCGCCGCGAATCCGTTGTTCCACAGCCATCGGAGCACGTCAGTGGTTGCTTCGACCCCAGCGTGCTCTGGGCTCGGGTTGTCTGAATACTGCTGCTTCTGCACATCGGACATGGCGGTGTCCCATTCCTTGGTGACGCCAATCCGCACAAAAAGGATGTCGCCTTTCTGGAACGTAATGTTGCATTCTTTGGCGATTTCCAATATCTCCGACAATCGCACCTGGTGAGTCGAGAAGGTGGTGTATGTGATTCCCTTCTTTTCCGCCCACGTGGCATAGTCGATCAGGACTCCACGCCCTTGAGACAGAGTTCAGCAACGCAAGAGGTAGATAGTTTAGACAGGGCAAAGAAGACGTCCTCACCTGCGATTCCCTCCTGCGCCCAGTGTTGCATCCCAATGCGATCATTCTTACGGTCATTGATCTCCGCAACCGTCGTGCCTCCGTAGAACACACGTTCTGGTTGCCCGGGAACAGTCTGGGAGAAGTGCCGTAGCCCATCCCATTGACTACTCTGCTCTGGAAAACTACCGTCAATACCACTCAACGATATCCGACTGTGAAGACCTACGCGGGTTCATGGTATAGATATCATCAAAGGCAACCCCGCCCAGCAGCGGAATGATCCGATGGTTACAGGGCTGTCGATTCAGATTTGGAAAGTCCAGCTTCGTCAATTCCCAGCTCATTGTAACTCGTTGACCGGTCTTGATCTCAGAGGCAGCCGCCTTGGCTACCACCTCGGGAGTCAGGATGGCAAGCTTGCCCAGTCCCTCTTCCCGGCTTCCCGGCTTTCCAACCCATACTTGCTTTGGATTGGGGAGGTCGTCAAAGGGAGTATCCCAAGGAGAGCTGGCAGCCATGACAGGGATGCCTGTGGAAATTATTGATCTTTGGAATTGATATGAATTTGAAACAAGAGTCTGATCGGTAGTATATATGACAACCAAGCTTCTGATCTACTGGACTTCTATGCAGGTTACGTCTGCGAATTTGTTCAACCCAGATGTTGCTTGCCCCATCGGACAAACATTCAAGCGACAGAGGGGTTGAAGAGGGGGAACAATCAGAACACATGGATGCGATCAACTGATGGCCCTAACTAAACCCATACTGGATATAGCTGTCAGCACATAGTTCCACGAAACTTGATAGTGCCAGTTCATCAGAGTAGAGTTCACCATCATATTTCATAGTTCAGAAGAAGAGGGAAATTATTAATCAATAGCGGAATTCGGAATGATGGTAATGGTATCATTCATATGAAATGATGGTCATTACAAATGAGGACCGTCCCATTAGTGCCATCCACGTTGTGACATTCCTTTTTGCCCTGGAAATCTTGGTAGGTCTGAGTAAGATGGCTCTTGGTGCTTGGGGGTTAGATAGACATGACATGACTCGATGACCTTCCAGGCCCCCTTACCTCTGTATCCTCCATCAACAGATCGATGATGATCAAGGTGGTGTAACAATGACTCTTTGTTTGGAAGACGGAGATTCCAATAATAATTTTTTGAGGCGTCAATGCAACCGTGTAATATCAGTACGGAGATATCGCGTAATGTATCAAAGTCAGTAGGTAACGTGCTCATCAGAGCGGCGGGTGGAGCCAAGTTGTCAAGTGAGGAGACCTGGAGAAATGCGAAGAATTGTTTGATTGGCTGTTCGGTCATATGCGACAAATCCAATTACATTACATTAGTAGTGTGGGTCTAGTGGCTTTTCTGGATCGTCAATCGTCAACATTCTAGCACGAGGCAGAAACAATCAAATTCCTTGACCCTGGCTTGACTTCGTACCTCACTGTCGCACCGTGCTGATAACAGCATTATTAAGATGCCGCAATTCGCGAATGAGAAGCCACCTTCGGCCTCGTTGAATGATCCAGAGCTTTCCCCTTTGAGCAACCTGCAGCAGGTGGAACCTGCCACACCCCTTCCTTCCGCCAATTATGCAAGAAGCACGGAGGATGGGCTTGTGCAGGCAAATGGTCAGCGGCGAAGAGCAAGGGGTTGTTTGAGAGATGAAGATACCTACTACCTAGTACGGAGTACCTACTACTAGGTACCTACTTGCTAGTAGTTAGTTACCTAGAAGACGAATAGATACTTGCTCCGGCCACAGAGGATCGAGAGCGCTCTTCCCGAGCCATCTTCTTTCTCTAACTCCTAACTCCAAGTCTGTAACTCTAAGCTACCTCCTCATCCGTTTGAACTAACGCAATAACCGCGTGGGTATATTGGCTGCAAGGGCAGAGAGTATGGTTTGATAGCTTTAGATCCGGGATGACGCTCACATCGTAAGAAGCTCTGGAGCTAGTATTTAGCAACTTGGGACTCTGTGCCCTCGAAGCTCTTCCTACATCAACCCGTGATTTCTCCTACTCTTTCCCTTCCTTTTCTTCTTTCTCTGGAATAGTAGTAACTACATACTGAGGATCCGTTGGAATCTGGTTAGACGGGCAGTGCAAGAAGGAAGTTGATCGTCCTCGTGCAAACCGCGCCAAAATCCTTTCCCGTCTCCATCCATCATATTCCTTTCTTTTTCCCCTACATTCTACCCCCCCTCGCTTGTTGCTTGCCTCAGTCCGCCCGTTATACCTACAGGGGTCAAGTTCCTAGGTTCACTTGAGGCTTAGCTCAACTCAACAAAGTTGCTGCATCACATTTGGGCCAACATATTATGGGGACCTTTGGCTCTCAGACCAGTACCTATAATAGGCTGGTCGCCATCTTCGTGGCCATTGGGTCTATGGTTAGTGCCTCTATTCACAATCCATATCTGATATTTTCTTTGTGCTCACTTTATCTTCTCGCTTGTTCTAGACCTATGGTTACTGTGCTTCCATTATCGGCAGTACAATCGGGCAGCCGGGATGGTATAGCTACTTCAATCTACCCAGCGAGGGCGAGCCGGGATACGCTTCGATTACCACACCCGCCATCTCGACGGCGAATGGTGTCTTCAGCGCTGGGGGTGCTGTTGGCACGCTGTTCATCATGTGGTCGTGCGACTACTTTGGCCGCAAGGTGAATATCCAACTCGGTGCCTTTTTCTCTCTCTTCGGAGGCGCGCTTCAGAGTGGCGCAAACTCGCTCAAGTACGTTCAGTTCGCTTTTCGAACCAATCTTGCATGTTTGCAACGCAGGACGCAGAGCTAACGACGATTAGAATGTTCCAAGCCGGTCGATTTATCTGTGGCCTTGGTATTGGTCTCCTGGTGACCGTGTGTCCCATGTACCTCTCGGAAATGTCGAGTGCCTTCCGCCGTGGCTGGCTGGTCGGTCACCATGCCATCTTCTTGGTCTTTGGCTATATGCTTTCTGGCTGGGTTGGCTATGCATGCTATTACGCCCAGGACATCAGTGGCGGTTTTGGCTGGAGATTCCCTCTGGCACTGCAATGCTTACCGCCTCTCGTGCTCCTGGTCGGATCTCCTTGGTTGCCCCGTTCTCCGCGTTGGCTCATCTCCAAGGGCAAGCATGAGGAGGCCAAATTGATCCTGGAGCGCCTCCGCCAGTCTCCAGAGGACCCGGACAATTTGGTGGCCAAGGAAGAGTATTTCCAGACCACGGAGCAGATCCGTCTAGAAGCAGAGCGGCTGTCGCAGTATGGTAGCGTGTGGAAGGCAGTTTGGAAGAAGAAGTCGTATCGCAAGCGGATGATTATTGGATTTCTCACTCAATGGGGAGCTGAGTTTGGTGGACCTCTGATTATCGTATGTTGAACCGTCGATGTCTTGTTTCGAGTCCTCGCTTAACAGGATTGTAGAACAATTACGCCGTGCTCCTATACACCAACCTGGGTATGAAGGACGGCATGCCTTTGCTTCTGAGTGCAGTCTGGTTGACTACAGCCGGTGAGTCTATTGTTCAGAGGCTCTGAGGATTGAGCTAATTCCCCAGGTCTCATCTACAATCCCCTGGGCGCTTGGCTCCATGACAAGGTCAACTCGCGCCGCGGCATGTATATCACCGGCTTTGTTGGTATTGTCATCACTACCTCCTGCCTGGCTGCGATGACTGCAGAATTCGCCGGCACCACGAACAAGGCCGGCAATGCCTTTGGTATCCTGTTCATTTACCTTTATCTTGCCTTCCAAGGGTATGGCTCCTAGTCATCTATTTTGCATTTCTTGACTAACTCGATCCAGCACTTTCTGCGACACTACCATGTATCTTTATGTGTCTGAGATCTTCCCAACCGAAATCAGACCGATTGGCATGGGCTTTTCTGTGTTCGGTCAATTTGCTTGTAGGTGATCCAACATGGGATATCTTGATCAATGGGCTAACCTAGTTAGCGACCCTGCTCTTGCTTCAAACTGCCCCTATGGGTTTCAATAATATTGGCTGGAAGTACTATCTAGTCATCATCTGCTGGTCGGCCTGCTTTATTCCAGGTAAGACTGAACATCCCCGATCGAGCCAATCGTCAAACTAACAATCAACCCAAAGTCATCTACTTCTTCTTCCCCGAAACTGCCCGCTTGACCCTTGAGGAGATTGCCAAGAACTTCGGCGAGGAAGTCGCTGTCCACCTCACAGATGCGACCGACGAGGAGAGAGCACAGCTTGAGCGGACCATTATTGAAAAACCAAACACTCCGTCCGAGCAAACTCAGGACTTCGAGGAGTCCAAGTCGGCCTAGAGCGACTTGCTCCATCTTTCGATCGAAACTATCATGACACCTTTGACTCTCAATAGCCGTTTTGGCAACAGCTTCTAGCGTACATTGTCGATCCTAAGGAAATTTTTGGTATAACGTTAAGTGTATGGAGTATTTGATTTTGATGTTCAGCTTCCGCCAGGGGGGGACGGATTGCCTTTTTTTTTTACTGATTCATTGAAGTTTATGGTGGGCGGGAGGCAAAACCTGCCCGATCACTTTCCTGAATGACTGACGGACCTGATGCCGATACCCTCTTTTGATGTACATAATACTGGAATGATCAACCTGACCGATCATACTGCTAGCCTACGGGCAGGCGAGGCGACCGGCTGATGCTATGACGATCGCGACTATCATGACAAACAATGCTATTTGACATTTGATGTCCTCGATCAACCAAGAAATCCCATGATTCTTGCCAATGATCCAAGCCCATGACTCCACCATCTATTGCCTTGGTGTTCAATAACCACGCCCATCCATATATGAAATAGAGAGGGGGGAGGGGGGAAAGAATCACCTCACATCCCACGTTGCACAGCGAAAGCGTCGTGATCAGCAAAAGATCAGCACGAACCATGACCCAAGTCCTCCGTAGCCCCCTGAATGATATGTAGATAGAATAATAATATAGATAGAAGTGCTGCACGCATCACCCGTAATCAGTCTCTACCCGAAATCGAATATTGATGTCGATCAATGATCGATCGCCCGCAATCCAGAACACGTGGGCTTCCTCCTCGACTCGCCCGTTGACAAGTTAAAAGAGTTGAGAACTGACATGTCCTATCTACCTATACAACTATCTGGGGGGGGGTTATATCTATCTACCTAGTGGATGAAATGCAAGAGACCCTTCCTTCCTTATCCGTAGTCCATTCCTGGCCTGCTCCTGTAGTTATTCGAACTTGAACTGGAATTTGGCTCGAAGCGAAAGAGCGCATAGTTTGGATCCCGCATACCCCGCCGTCAAATCCATTCCATATGGGGAGCATGGTATGGCATAGTCTACGGAGTAGAGAATGACCTCATCCAGCGGCCTTGGTGGGTAGTAGATGCATTATTATTACGGAATGTGAGTTTACGGTTTACCCTAGCCTAGCCTAGGTTATGAGTATGGAGGATGGAGGATGGAGTTACTCCGTGCGGACAACGGACATCCCTCCCAGGGGCAGATGGGCAGATGGCCCCCGCACATTTCACAGGTTTAACGCGACAGAGAGGATTCAGGGGTACGGATGTTTGGTCCTAGACTTCGCTGTTTTTTTTTTATTTTATATATATATATATTTGGTTGCTCTTCTGGGGCGTTGGGAGTTACACATCGGTGCTGGCTGGAGGTTGTACGGGTGTACAAGTGAGCTGGCTGGGGAGGGGTTTTGCTGGTGTCGAATAGAGAGGGGGGAATTGGGGAGTGTGATGACTCAGGGGTCGGCATTTACACCGTGGGCTTTTTTTTTTCTGTTTGTTTGCTTAACCCCTCATTCATTTCTATATCTCGGCAGTGTGTATGTGGGGGAGGGGTTCATATATAGCTCGATGGATGGGTGCTGGTGTTCATTTCTAATGGCGTCGAGATCTTGTTGTTCAATGCAAGCCCCTGTATATATAACACAATGACCAACACGCGATTACAACCCGGGTTCCGCCTTCAGGGCAAAGTGGCTATCGTCACAGGTACGCGATTTTCCACCCGGCTGCCAGATACACGCAGAGCTCTGACAATACTTAAAAGGAGGAGGTTCAGGCTTCGGTGCGGCGATTGCTCGCCGCTTCGGCGAGGAAGGCGCCAAGGTGATCCTCACCGATATCAACGTCGAGAATGGCCAAAAGGTTGCCGCGCAGGATCCCGAGAACCTCGTTTTCCAGAAGATGGATGTCACGAGCGTGGCGGATTGGGACGAGGTCATGGACTTGGCGTTTTCGAAGTTCGGCCGGTTGGATGTGCTGGTGAATAATGCGGGGACCTCGTATCGGAATAAGGTTCGGGAATTGTCCCTGGGGTTTGAATTATGATTGGGGATCTGTCGCTGACACTGCTGTGTTTAGCCAACGTTGGAAGTCACCGAGGAAGACTGGGAGCGTGTGTTCAATGTCAATGTGCGGGCCATCTTTCTCGGATCCAAAGCCCTGGTGGCTCGGTTGATCGAGCAGGGTCAAGGGGGCTCCATGATCAATATCTCCTCCACAGGCGCCTCAAGACCACGTGCGGGGTTAGTGTGGTATAATGCATCTAAGGGTGCTGTTTCTAACGTATGGGGTTTGCTTCCGCCGCCTCTCTGCACCATAGCTGACATCGGCCATTTCATAGGCAACCAAAGGGCTGGCGGCCGAATATGGGTCCCACAACATCCGAGTCAACACTGTTAGTCCTCTCTTGTCCGGGACGGGTCTCTTCTCCATGTTCACCGGCATGGAGGACACCCCTGAGAATCGCGAAAAGTTTATAGGGAACGTGCCCCTGGGTCGGTTGACAGATCCGGACGACGTGGCAAACATGTGTTTGTACCTCGCTAGCGACGAGGGCAGTTTTATCAACGGCGCTGAGATGATCGTCGATGGAGGCAAGTGCATTTAGACAGATAGTGTTGAAGCAACCACCATCTGGGCCAGCATCTCCCTTCAGTTTTTCGTTTCATGAGTAGGGCCACGTAGCCGGGTCCCATAGAGACATATCCTCTTCCAGCAAGCCCATCATATGCTGGTTACCTGAGAACCAGCTCCCGAGCTGTGTCTGTGACATCATATTAGCTGGAAATTGTCCCTCCATCCCAGCCTCAATTTCAGGCATAGTCCTCGCTGCCAGAGGCTCTGTGACAGCAGCACTCCAGCGAGAAACGCCTTCTCCCGACGCAGGAGCCAGGCCCAGGGCGCTGAGATACGTATCGAATTCTTGCCCCACAGACGCGAGACCTTGGTTTTCCGGAATCTGTGCCTGTGCTTTCGCTTCGACGTACAGTCTGGCAACATTGCTGAGCACCTGACACAGACTATGCAGTTTTGCAATTGCCTCGGACAGAAAACAATTGGGTCCCAACGAGGATACAAAGTCCTCCAATCGCACAAGATCGGCGCGAGAGGATACCTCAATGACATGGCAGAAGAGGACAATAAAAGGGACGAATGGCGCATATAACAAGGCCCTGATCACTGTCATTCCTGAGGAATTTAATTTATGCCTGGTTGGGTTGGCTTACCAGTGTAGATACGAGCATTTTGTGGCCTCATTGCTCTCTCTCAACATATTCATACATGTCTGGTGAATTTCCAAGGCAGTCCGAGCGGTTTCAATGCATTCAGGAATGAAAGTAGACGGAGAATTCTCTGGAGGAGGAATTGCTCTGTATATCAGAGTCAACACCGCCAAGCGGCTGACTTCGTCCGATCTAATCCAGAAATCTTCAATTTCCGACATAACTGGGGCAACTACACTCAGTTTCTAGTGACCCATCAGTACTTTTGCGCGCTTAGGATCAAACTAAATCCACAAGCAAAGGCTTACCTTGAATTGTTCCATGACGGAAATTTCCATCTCTGACGCCAATTGTCGGGCACAAAAAACTCTCTCATGTTCTGCTTGACCCAAACCCGCAGGGCTGTATAGTTGCTCGTATACCTTGCCTTGAATGGTCGCCATTTTAACCCATAATTGGTAAATCTTTCTCCATGGTTCTTCAGCCGCATACGCTCCGAATGAGTTAGGCAGAGTAGTATCATAGTCCTGTATCGTCGAAGCGCGCCCAAGCCTTAGTGACAGACCTTTATCGAGGCAGTAGACAGTCCAGAAAAGTCGGAGCTCTCTTTCCTTCCCTTTCTTATTGCTATTCTGGTCCATGAATGAGCCGCGGTGGTATCCAAGAGTTTGACATAGCCTAGCTGCAGTCGAAGTCAAAGTCCAGGCAAACGAGGGCTTTGAAATCTCGATGGCATGGACAGCCTACATGTGCGTTACGTCAGTCGACTGAAGGAAATGAGGAAGCACGACCGCTTACTCCCAATGTAAGTGCTTCAATAGACTCTGGCCGAGTAGGCATCAGCAAACTCAGGTTTGCTAGGGCGGTCTCGAGGTTGTTGCGACAGAGCTCGATGTACTTCTGATAATCGGCGCGAATCTGTGGACTGGAGGTGAGGAAACTGTACTCGATGAAGACATGGTACAAGCCACCATTGGCGACTATAAAGGTAGCATCGGAGTAATCTTCTGTTGCAAAATACACTTCGCGGCATTTCTGAATGAACTCATCCACTTCGAGGAAAGGAAAGAAGCATTGGAATCCAAAGGGGGGATGTTCTATCGGTGCGTCAGTCCTGGTCACGACTTCCTTGTAATGCTCAACGTACCTTTAATCCTGCGTAGGATCCCCACAACCACTTGCATCGGAGGCATAACCAAATCTCGCAGATTAGAGTCTCGTATGTCTTTCTGATTTGGCAACCGAACCTCCCGAGATGAGGATCCTGGTGGGTGACTTTGCATGTTCACCATCTGTTTGAGCGCCGCGAGAGCTGCATTGACCTTCGGCGTGGAAATCTGAGGCGCGCTCCGCGAAACTACAGTCTCGAGAAACGTACTCGCGTAGACCGAATGAGCCGCCAGGGAAGAATTGCCCTCGAACGCAGTACCAGACTCGTACTGATCCAAGGCGGCTGTCGTGTTAGAGGTATATCCAGAACCAGCCGGAGTATGTTCTTTAGGACTGGATGCCGTGTGGTAGCATGGCTCAGCAATAGTCGTGCCGGAAGTAAAGTACGACTTGAGCTCAGAAAGAACATCTTCGATGTTGCTCAAGCGCTCCTCGATAAGATCGATCTTTTTCTCACTGGGAGGAGTCAACAATGGGCGCTGATGGATTCGCTTGGGGAGACTACCACTTACTATTGACTGGAAATCAAGACTCTTCGCCGGTCCTCTTTCGGTTTCTGTCCTGCACCGGTAGAGCGGCATATGACCTGTGCACTGCGGCAATTTGAACATGGTGATCGCTTATCACAACGGACCTGCAAATGGACATGGTGAGCTACTATCCATCTCGAGCGGTGGGTGCAACAGATGAGAGTCAAGAGATGCTAGAAAACTAAACATTCGTCTTCACACCTTTCGTAGACGACATTGGTCGCACTGCAGTCCATTAGCAATTAGCAGCACACAACAACCCACTATCTACTACATTCCGGGTCACTCACCGCACGCTTGTTGAGCAGTTCTTTGCTGTCGCTTTCGGCACTCTCGGCCTCCATTTTTTGATTATCAGTTATATTAGCGAAGCCTTTGTTGAGTTAGTCTAATCGCCGTCTACCTGGTTGTATGAGAAAAATGGCTTGGAGACTTGCTAAAATGGGATTTGGTTAGCCTGAAAAGGATGTCGTATTGTGCCGGAACCCGCGGATACCGAAGAAGCCAAATGAGATGGTGACTCAGGCATAAACATGAAGACAACCAAGGATTCAATCACATTTTGTTACTTGTAGTTGAGATTTGTGACATACATTTTGAAGTGAATAAATATGCTCTATACAGTTTATGCACATCAAACTGGGTATTTCAGGTCTTTCCCAAATCTCTATCTCTATCATCTTCTATATGAGCAGTAAGGACCTACCAGAGGTCAGTACCTTTGGCAGACACAGAGCATTGAATATGCGCTCCGTTCATTGGGGAATTTGTAAAGCAGTGCGGTACTCCTTTCCGAACCTTTCGGCGGTTACAGTAAGGAAATTTATGGCTGAGAATATACGATCTTGACGATACTCAAGCGCAGGTTCTGGATGGAGGCCAACAATGACTCCATGTCAATCCAAGTCAAAGTCCTGGTGAGAAATGGCATGCATCCGATACCATTTAGTGAACATCTTGATCTTATAGATAGACAAAACGTTTCGACGGAGACACTTAGTTCTTATTACATCCCGTAGTCGTAAGGACGACTGGGATGCGGTATTTAGGTCATCAAGACGCATATCGTAGAATCATTTTTTGATGCCTATGACCGCAAGGTTCCTAGGGCTTTCACTGTATTCAAACACAGGCTCAACCCAGCAGTCCTTGACAGAGTCGTGCTCACGCAAGAACTGCCATCTGTCCACGACAATGAGAGCCTCGACAAGCGCGGAGCTGAACGACATCAAGCTCCAGGTGACGCTGAGATGTTTCTTTCTGGGCCAATACTCCGCTTCATAGCGTTTCAGCTCCTCTTCTGTGATACCAGCCATCCGGGCCTTGACCTTTTCCCCATTGTGCGTGTCCCGGCTCAGTTTTGCTACCGCGGCAAAGACATACGCAGGGAAGGACGTAAAAGCTGCCTTTCGCAAGGACCCAACGATCAGAGGATTGCCCACCGTCTCAGGTCCGTTAGTCTCGACCCCATACAAATCTGTTGGGTTGACAGGCTTGGCTACTACGCCACGGTCAACAAAGACACGTTGGAGAAGAGCCCGATAGAAGTGCCGCGTGAAGAAGTCCTCACTATCTTGCCTGCCCCAGTTGTACGGGGCCTGCAAGGACATTGATCGTGCGGTGATGTTGAGCTTCACCCCAGCCCCACTATGATGCTCATATGCTTCCAAGCGCTTAGACATGGGAAAGCCATGAGGATCGTATGCACAGGCATCCTGAGTCAAACGAGGGTGTTGGGTACGAAGAATGGGTATTTTGTAAGTAGCTGGGCCCAACCTTTCTGTTACCAGGTTGTAGCAGCATCCAATCATGGCAATAGCTTTGACGGACGGGTTGAGCACCAATGATCTGACACCGTGATGGAGAAGGTTTCCACAGGAATGGAGCGAAATGACCATGACTTTTGGGTCTTCCAACGATCTGTTGTTTGTCTCCTCTCCACCATCCGCCATGGGCCCTTCGGGGGATTGAAGTTTTTGGGATCGAGATGCGACCACATCTTTGATGATAGGCTCTAGATATCCATCTTTGATCTCATGCTCAATGTAATCCATAGCTCCCTTGAGTTGAAGGACATCATCTTTCTTAGTGGAAACGAATTTCTTTGGGGGCCCATTCTTGTAAGGGCTGGTTCCCCACTCCTCAGGCTGGATATCAATGTCCAGGACACTGAACACGGTGCCATCCTCTTCATCGCCCTCTGCAGCCTCTACGGAAACTATTTCCGGTACAGTATCCACAATCTCCGGTTCTGAGATGGGTGATGGAGTTGGAGTTTCTGAATCATCGCGATCCTGGCGATTGCGTCTTCTCTTCGCGGTCCCATAGACAATCTTCTTCTGTTTCTTCGCCAACTTCGCATGAATGTCCATGCCCTTTGCGCCACTAATGAACTGATGTTCTCGCTCAATCGCGATTATATGCCTGTTGTAAGGAGGACTCGCGAGCGTTCGTCCAAGGTAGTTTTGTCCCGATCCGAAATCAACAATATGCGAAATTTCCTCGCCCCGTTCGTCAGCAACCGTGTTGCACAGCGCGTCAACATATCCCGAAAAGTGTGCGACCTCGTGGTACTTCTTTTGGTTCATTCCAACCGCAAGATGGTGCGGTAAAAATGGCTTCCCAGGCTTTCGAGGAGTGAAATCTCTCCCCAAACTCAGTCGACGAATCTGATGAATGTATTCCAGCAAATCGACCGGGGGGAGGGGCTGCCCTCTCCACTGAACACCGGCATCCCGGACCTGCTCACCACTTCCCTGGTGCCTACGACTCTGCTTTAATAAAGGCGGTATGTCTTCCCTCAGCAGCAGGTCGAGAATATCTTGGATGTCATGCTTGTCGAAAAACGTTCGCCATTCTTGCGGTAGAAGTGAATCGTATAGGTCCGGTTCACGGGTCAGGAAATCTAAGATGTGTACACCGCCGCAAACGTGAAGGAACAAATCCGACGAAGTTGTGAATGATAGGAGCGCATCGGCATAGATATCAGGGTCTGTCCACTCTTCGGAGAGTGGGAGGGGTCGTGGATGCGGCATGTGAGCGATGGGGAGGGAGTTGCGGGGAGAGGCCAAAGTCGCTATGAGAGTCGCATAATAATGCCAAGGCACGACGTGAAGGTACTGTACCAATTCTGCAACACAATCTGGCTTGAATATCAAGCAAGTTACCGTCAGCAAGCATACATTTTGACTGGAATTTTACAAAAATTTTGGGTTTGAGGGGAAGATACCAATCAGGTTTAGACTCTCGGGACATTTCTGGGGGTCGCCAGGCACCAAGGCACCAAGGCAGCGAGGCAGCGAGGCACTTGGACATGGCGGGGAGTCTACTGCTCTGTCAGTAGCATCAATGACATCAACGTCCAAACCAACAAGGACACGATAGATACAAGGACTGAAAGTTTGTCCTCTATTACTCTTCAGCCACCAAGTTGATAGACCCCGTCTTGGGAATCGATGCATACTAACCACAATAGATCATTGGAGGACGGAAGATCCTACTCATCGCTTCCCCTGGGAATGCAGCGTGAATAATGGGCCATATTCCCCACAAGCCACACTGACAAGTGACAACTAACCAACCGACTATTGGCTTCTAGAAGGCAATAGTAGTGTTGTCATCTCGTCGGGCTGCTGATCTTGCTTTGAGTTCCAACCCTGATGATGCTGGCAAGGCTCGAATCTCCGTTTAGTCTTTCGGTCCAATGCTCCGTCTACACCCGTTTGGTGTGCCCAGTGTCAAAAGGCATATAGGAAGGAGAGATGACGGTGCTAGCTGGCATGCTGCCGAACAAGTGTTCGTCTCATACTTGAGAGGTTCTGATGTGATGAAACGTGTTCGAAATGTGACTCTTGGATTGGAAGCCGATCTCCTCGAAAGCCCGACAGGTTTACCACCCATCGAAAGTTGACAAGTCAGGTCCATGATCGCCTGACTACTCCTACGCGATCAGTGTTCGATCCATTCTCTCCTAAACACTGCAGCCAAGAGATGGCCAACGCGTCATACTGGTTATAAGTACCTGAACTATACCGTCCCAGCGTCTTTTCCCTCCCTTTACTGCAAGGGGAGCTGTGAAGCAAGCTTGGCTACACCATCAAGTATTCCTTCAGCTTGAACAACCATGGTACATTTCTCCAGACACAATCACAACGATATTCAATTCATTGGTGAGCCTCCTCGCCAGGTCAAGGCTAACGCCCTGGTGGCCTGTCTTGCTAGGCGTATGAAAACATGAAAGCAATGGGCTAATCCTTCTCTAACAGCAAACCCGACACGCGATAATGGACAGGAAAGGAACGCCATTTGGCCATGTCGCCGATGTATTATATCAGATCGTCACAAGCAGTGACATGGCTACGGCGTTAAACCTCTGTCTGGTGAACAAGTCTACATACGAGACAATCAAAGTACTAGAACCGCATATTTGCCGCTGGTTTATGCGCTCGCACAACGTGGACACCTTCTCCTCCGTGCTTACCCTAGACCCGGAGACGGGTAGTCAAATCCCTCTGACGGTCCACACACTCCCGAAGTTCATTCGCCGTCAGCAAACAGCGAGTCAAATCGCATGCCGTATTATCCCCTCAGTATGGGGACCTTTTTCTGATTATGGCTACGCAGGACTGGACTACAGCGTTGAATTGAGGCTGGCGAAAAGACTGGAGCGAGGGCTCTATGTGCTCTTTCATTTTGCGGACATTTCACACATCATCGAAAGACGACAGGAGGAAGAGAGAGAGTTCATGGCCTCCACCGACTCCGAGCGGCTTTTAGTACTCGCCAAGACACTGGACAAGTATGATGACGTCCTGCAACATAAGCGACAGTTCATGACCTTCGATGAGCACATCAGTCACATTTACTCTGTCTTAGAATGGGGACAGATGGAAGCGGACATCGGCAGAAAACGAATCGAGTTTCGGGGCTTCATCGATGCACAGACAGAAACAGATTTCCACGCTGCCCTCAGAATTTTGAGGGAGCTGCTGGAGCGCATGCTCCTGAGGCATGGGCCAAAGGACTGGCATCGAGATGCCAACAACGAATATAGCGTGATTTCGTGGTTCCTCCTTCGGCAAACGCCTCGAACATTGGCGAAGCTTTTCTTGAGTCCTCAGGACGAATGTTGTCGGTTTGATGATAAAAGCACAGGTGACGATACCAGGGAGTGCATATTCTCAGATCCGCTGGATAACTATTGGAAGGAATGGAAGGACGACCCCGGCTTAGGATGCCGAGATTGCGACTGCAAACGCCGAGTCAGGAGCTGGAGCGTGAGGCCTGCAGTGATTGATGCTCGAGGGAGAGAATTCAACCGAGCTGCGCAAAGATATCTGAAGGAGATGTGGTGTCAGAGACATATTGGGCCTCAGCAAGAGTCTACATTTTGCTGTTACGATACATTTTGACTAGCAATGATATCTAGCTTTCGGTCGATCAAGCATGGAGTAAGCGTACCCTTTTGCTGTACGGAGTAGATAACTCCATAAAGCAGACGGTATCACGTGCCAATTCGTAATCTTCCGGCTTACCGCCAACATCACCGCCGAGCTGACTGTCGGGCTATCTTGACACCGCAGTGCAGCCATGCATGCCATCAACCAACTTAATCAATCCATCCATTCTTCCTAGCTCTATCGAATCATCTCCCGATGCACACGTAGCCTTATCCGAAACCCCCAACCAAAATGGAAAACGCAGACCCCTTCCTCCAAGTCCAAGCGTAAGCTAGCTTCCCCAAACCCCCTATACCTAAGCTAGGAGTCAGTCTAACACACTCTCCCACCCCCAGCGACGTCCTCTCGACCCTTCAGACCAGCAGGCCCCTCTTCTCCTCCTACCTACGCATCAGATCGACCGCCAAATCCCCCACAAACCCGGAACTCCAACAAGCGCGCGCCGAGCTCGAAGCCACGCTCACCGACCTAACCGCGGACCTCGACGATCTGGTCGAGAGCGTACGCGCCGTTGAGCAAGACCCCTACCGGTATGGGCTGGAGATCGAGGAAGTGGCGCGGCGGCGCAAGCTCGTGGAGGAAGTCGGGGATGAGATCGAGAAGATGAGAGAGGAGCTGCAGCGGGTCGTGACGACGGCGGAGACGGGCGGCGGGAAGGGCGCGGCGGGGCTGCCTAATCCGGCTGATTTTGATGGTGTGCTTTCGCCGTCGGCGGAGGACGGGGGCGATGATTACTATGCTTCGCTGGAGCAGCAGCGGCAGGAGGAGCTGATGCATGAGCAGGACGAGCAGTTGGATGGCGTGTTTCGGACTGTGGGCAATCTGCGGCAGCAGGCGGATGATATGGGGCGGGAGCTGGAGGAGCAGGCTGTCATGATTGATGAGGTGGATACGCTGGCCGATCGGGTTGGGGGCAAGTTGAGTAATGGGATGTCGAGGGTGAAGCATATTATTCGGAAGAATGAAGGTAAGTTACTGCGCTATTTGTTTGGGGTTATCTCGCATCGTTTACATTGAAGAGGACACTGTGAACGAAAGGAAGAACTGATGGCTGATTATTTTGGTACATAGATACAATGTCTTCGTTTTGCATCGCCGCTCTCATCTTCGTGCTGATCCTACTCCTAATTTTGGTGATTGCATTGTGAAATAATGTCGAATCCGAAAGTCATGGTCGCGCAAGTAACGAAATGGGAGTTTGACTGGCGGGGCCAGACTGAGGAGAGATCTAAACCCGGGCCTTCTTACGGGGATGAGAGTTGCTTTCCTCCTCCTCGTCATCTTCCTCGTCTTCGAGTTCGTCCTCATCAAAATCCGAGTAGTCTTCGCCGACCTCGAAGGATTGTCCTGGGTCCAGTCAGCCACGGTTACTTTGTTTCATCGCATTGGTTCGATGCACTTACCATAATACTTGTGAGCATTGGGCCAGAGGTCCTCGGCAAGAGCGATTGCCACGTCCTCGCCATCGGGGAAGATCTCGATCTCATCGAAGGAGTCTTCGTCATCATCCTCATCCTCCTCCTCCTCGTCGTCGTCATCGAACTTCTCTCCTTGAAGAGCCTTTTCGAACCGCTCATCATCCTCCTTGTTCGCCTCCTTGGACTCTTCGGCGGAAACAACGTTACCGCGATAACCGAAAAATCCAAAGAAGCTGGTTCCAGCAGGAGTGGGGAAATCCTCCTCGTCCTCCTCGTTGTCTTCCATGGCGGCGGACTCGAGCTCCTCCATCTTCTTGGCGATCTTCTCGAACTCGGGAAGCTTCTTGCGGTCACCGGCCTGCTTCTTCTCGGCCTCGGCCAGATCGCAAGCAGCATCGAGCAAACCCTTGGTCAGATCCATGCCCTCCTTCCAATTGATACGAACAGGCTCGGAGACAAGGCCCTCCCAGGTCCTCCGCTTGCCCTTGGGGGTCTTGGTAATCTTCTTGCGCCAGTAGAAATCCTTGACGACCTTCTCGTTCTCAAAGAAGGGGTTCTCGTCGCCGGTGCGAAACACGAAGGTGAAGCGCAGACTGCGGGGCTCGCCCTGGCCCTTCTCGTCGACCTCGAATCTCTCGACAGTCAGATCCTTCAGGGCGGAACCCAGAACAGCAGCGTCGGCATGCTGGATGTATTCATCGATCTCGGCGGGCGCATTGGAGAGGACACGGACCCAGAAGTCATCCTGGACCTTGGAGATGATCTTGCTGCGCTGTTCCCACAGAGGACGGTTCTCGACGGTGGAGCGGCGCACTGACAAGTTAGTTTGAGCTCGATGCCATGTTGTCATAAATCACCCAAAAAAAAAAAAAAAAAATTGGATGCAGGGTGCAGGATAAACTTTACAGCGATCAGTCTCGGCGCGAATGAATCTCTGTTCGAGGAGCGAGAACTCCCGCGCCACATCGTCGGGGATCTCGGGCATCTCGATGCGCTCAAGGAGCGACTTCTGACCGTCTTCAGCACTCATGATGTCGCGACCGATAAGGCTACCTAATCAAGCGATAAGCAAGTAGCTAGAAAAGTGCGGAGTGGATCCTGTTATGCAAACCTTTCTTTTTCCAGGTGGGTAGAGGGGGGTATTTGATATAGCGAAATCAATTGACCTGAATCCAACGAGTGAAGATGATCCAAGAAGTGATGTGATGGAAAGGAGATGATGAAAGGAAAAGGGAGAGAGAGTGAGAGAGAAAAAGGGAATAAAAAAATTTCGAAACTTAGGTAGATAGCTACTCCGTAGTCAGCTAAACTCCGAGCATAATAATAATCGGCAGGTCACAGCAGAGCGGCAATTACCTACCACTCGAGCAGGTGGCCGCTTTAGGGTCAGGTGATGTCACCGTTGTCTTTGTAGTGGTAGCCTACCTAGTACCTAGTACCTAGTACCTAGTAGACTAGTACTGTGTAGTAGGTAGGTAGGACGGAGTACGTTGGACTATGTTCCTGACTAAGATGCCAGCCAATCGGAGGACCAAGGTACCCAACCTCTCAGCTTCACAGCACCTTGTACTCCGTACTGTCTTCCAGTCTATCCATCTCCTCTCCTCTCCTCCGTACCTTAAGTTCAGAAAATCACCTCCCCAGCTACTTATACATATGTATACACTACCCCTTGTTCTCTCAAATCCCACCTGCTCACCACATCTATACGCAGTACAGATTACTGAGCAACATCAACGGCGAAAAGCCATGAACGGTTTTTTTATTTCTTTTTTTTTTTTCTTTTTTATAAGCCAAACCTAACCTATACCCATGATGTACGCCCAAACGCCACATGCGGAAAAAAATGATCTGCGCCTGGGAAAAAAAAAAAAGCAAAAGCAAATTGAGTGCGACGGAACTAGGAAGTGCTGAACCGTCGGATGGGGTCTAGGTCTCTCTAGTGGGAGGGTACCTCGATGCTAGATGCTAGATGCTAGATGCTAGCTTTTACTAGGTACGGGGTCGAGGAAGACCCAGACTAAGTACTAATTAGCTACCTAGGTTACTACTTACGGGTGTGCTGATTGCTGGGACTGGGGAGCTAATATTCTTATCTAAATGTGGAGAGGGGATGGTGGTTAATGGAGGTCTGGGGGGAGGGCAGTACCTTGATATTGATGCGGGGAGAGGATGGATGAGATACTCCCCCTTTGTCCTTTGTTCTACTGGATTTAGATCAGGATTCAAGAGTAGAGGCTGAAGTATTCGTAGCGGCACTTGATATTGTAAGATCGGAAACACACGTAGGACAGACAGTAAAAATCTCGACGTATGATGACAGCCGCCAATATAACATTTTTTTTAAAAATAAGAAAAGAAAAAAAAAATAGAAAAAAAAATTTTTCCAAACAAAAAAACTCCAGAGGGGAATATAGTAGGTAGACAGGTGACTTCGGTGAGGTGAAGATAGTCAGAAGCGATCAAGATCAAGATCGAGAAGAAAAGAGCAAGCACGAGAAGAAGAAGACGTAAAAACTTTTGGTGGCAGCTCAAGAGTGGCCACACTCGCAAGAGCAACAAAGAAAACCTGTCGTGGGTCAATCATAGCGCTGCAGGGCAGCATTAAGGGTAGAAAGAATAGCAGAAAAGTAAAAGAGGTAAAATGCTTTCGTGACATCCGTTTTTTTTCCCCCTCCAGAGTATACAGCAACAAGCCAAACCCAGGTTGACTTTGTCCCAACGTAGAAGAGAGGTTGAGAGTCAGATGGACTGGATCAGCTGCACCCCTGCATTATTCCTTCGCATTATGGGTTAATCTCTCCGAAGAGCAGTAGGATGTAGGTATAGGTAGATAGGAACCCATTCGCCAGCAATGCAAATCAAGTGTTTGAAGAAGCGGGGGGAGGGAAACAAGGTGAGGATGAGAATGAGAATGATGGAACAAAATGAATCGACGGGTAGAGAGAAAGATAAGGGCGTATCACGGCATCGATGGTGTGGCGCATAGCGCATGTAACCTCCGTATCGAGCCAATCGGGCTTGGTTGACGATCAGACTTCAACAGGCGTTGGGGTAATTGTGTTTGTAGTTTTATTGTTATCAGCTGGAGGTGACAGCGCGTCACACCAGCGGATTCCCCAAAAGTCTCATTCCCCGGTGATGGAGTAAAATATCAAATCAAAAAATGATTTTTCCCCCTGCGTCAACTGACGGATAGAACGGATATGTGAGAAAATGCCATCTCCGTCTTACAGCATCCAATCGAGACCGTTGGCTTCCTCTTCAACTGGAAACACTTCCCGCGCATATTCCTCCATGTCCCTCCAGCCCTCCCACAGCTGTCGCGCCTCGTCGGTGACTCGTAATGAGACGACTCCTCCGGGACCCTGCATCATTCCCGCCCCAGCACCCTTGCCATTGGCAGGGCCCAACCCCTTGGGCGAACCGGCTGCCGGACGGGAAAATTCGGGTTGAGGGAAGTAAGGCGCGTTGCACTGCCCAAAGACCATCTCGATGGCCTCGAGTTGTTCCCGGTATCCGGTAGGAATGTTGACCTTGACTTCCACTCGGGGCACGTGCACATAGTGGCATGGTCGATTTAACGCGCGCGAGAAGGCGGCGCACACCTGGTTGGGGGAGAGAGTCTCGAATGTCAGAGCAATCCTGTGCGACGCCAAAAAAAAAATCTACTGGTCAGCCAACACCACTCATTTCAAAAACAGGACATGACAAGACACAAGGCACGTGTAACCTACCGATGACCGTGCCATTTCTTAGGCCCATCCATGAAGATTTGCAGCAGCGCCGGCCCAACGTCGTGTTCGGCGTCCAGCCACGGTAATGGGGTGTCGGGATCAAACGGCGCATGCCATTCAAAGCTGCCGTCCGGCATGAGTTCCATCTGGAAGAGCGGATAGGGGAGACTGGTGAAGTTGTTGTTGTAGATGCCCGCATAGACAAAAGTCGCCGGTATTCCCAGTTGTCGCACGTAGTTCTCGACAGTGAACTTGGGCGCCCACAGTGGCACAGGCGGCCACGGACCGTGAACGGAGTGATCGGGCATGCTGCTGTAGATGTAATGCTGGATGGTGCCTGCTCGCTTCGCGGCGTCGGCCAGCGCCTTGCCAATGGCGACCTCATCCCCGGATTGTGATGTTGTGTTGATGAACGCCAGGTTTGCTCCTCGGAACAGGTTATCCATTAACGAGGGATTGTCCTGCAGAGGTCCTTGGAAGAGCGTAACGTTGGGAAGTCCCTGCAGTTCCTCCGCTATAATCCCCTTGAGGGAATGGATCTGAGCTCGTACATTGTGACCGACGGCGGAAGCGACGCGGATGAGAGAGGCAGCCTGACGGCCTGTCGCGTTAACGACGGCAATGGTTTTCTTTTGCTGTGTCATTCGGAGTGTCGGTTCTCTCTTTTCGATGGAAGGTAAGGCAGGCAGAAGTTGAGAGGGCAAGTTTGTAGGCGTGTTTTTCCGTTTCTTTTTTTTTCCCCCGTTTTTTTTTAGCACCTCCCCGGGATCGGATGTCGGCAGGAAGATGGAGGGGTCAAGAAGATAGATTGCGGGGTAGACGGAGGAAAGGGGAAGCAATCAAGCAAGAGGTCAAGGGACCAGGCGCAGGAAATCAGACCCGATGGAGCAGACGGTGAGGATGGTATAGATAGTCGGGAGGATGGAAGGAAGTCGAACGGGGAGAGTGAGTAAATTGTAGTGGTTTAGAAGGGACCAACGCGTCGTATATAACGAAATGGATGGGGATAGAACAGTGGTAAGGATGATAATAATAATAATAATAATAATAATAATCGATACGCACTACTACTATTTTAATGACGATAATAGTAGTAGGAGTAGTAGTCGGGATCTAGACGCGAACGACATGGAACAAGGTCAGGAGGTCAGATAGTAGTAGGTAGTTAGGTAGTAATAATAAGCAGATCCAGAATAGTAGAATAGAATGACGGGTCCCTTTCCAAGCTTGAAGGAGCTGCTCAAATGGACCTGTGAGTCTCTGTGATACTCGGACAGAATTATAATAATAATATCAGGTGTGAGGGAAATAAAAAAAAAAAAAAAGGCACAGTGGGGTAATTTCGGTGGAGGGGAACAGTAGTAACTATCTAGTAGGAGTAGTAGTAGGAGTAGAGTAGTTAGTAGTAGTCTATCAGTACAGAGTAAAGAGTAAAGGCTTCAGTCAATAGGGACTACAATGACAATTAGAATTAATGACTCTCCCTGATTGAATGCCGCAATTAACTGGACTGATTGTGCAATGTTCCCTGACTCTTTTCCGACTCTCAAGGTATCTGGATATCTATCTAGATAACCGATAGACACCTCCAAGGTACTACTACTACTCACCTGACTTTGCACCACCCAATACCTTAATGACCAAATTTTTCCGAAAAAAAAAAATAAATAAATAAAAATAAAAGATGCTTGTCGTGACTAATGGGAATGCAATATCAAAGTCAAAAAGACGGCTAAAGAAACTAGTCGCCAACTGGTCTGGATTGAGATCGTCTGGGGTTGCCAAATGCCAATAAGCGAATCTTCTTGCTTCTCTTGTAGTATTAAGACTACTACACAGTACTTGATGATAATCATCGTCATAAAATAAATTGATGCTCTGATCCAGTCAAGTGATCGAGTAATATTAATAAGGATTGCCATTTCATACGGAGTACTACTTACTAGTTACTACTCTGACAACTCAACTGCGACTGCTCTGTCCTACGGATAATGAATGGACTCACAGGCTAACTAACCGTACTTCTGGCCATCCTCAGTCCTCCTGGACAGACTCCTCCTATCAATCCAGCAAAAAAATCCACATGGTCCGATTCATCCATCATTCTGGAGTCTGGATCTGTACTTTGGACCCAGTAGACTACTAGACTAGTAGTCTAGCAGCCGCCGGTGATGGATCACGATGGGGGGGGGGGGAGGAATGACACCGCGACAACGCAGCAGGTGGGCAACATGAAAGGCGACGGGAATCGGGGATCATGCACGAAAACGCCTGTCCAATCTATGAAGTACTAACGAGTGATATCCTAGGTTAAATCCACAAAGAAATCACCAGAATCTTCACTGCTGAAAATTTTCAAAGACAGATTCAAGTTGGAGCGGCATCCCTTTCTTTTTTTTCCTTTACGTAAGAGAGAAAACTGGGCAGATGTCAGAAACTACCCATGATGGATCCTGGAGATGATCGTTATTATTATTACTCCGTATGAGTAGTAAGAGCAATTAAGAGTGACTGTGTCTGTGTCTATGTCTAATGGCTGTTGGTCCTCATATCCTAGATATCTACTCCGTACTACTACTTAACTGCCAACGCTACAACCGTACACCGATCCCAAACATCATCCTAGGCTATATATCCTAGCTGCACAATGCAAACTGCACACCACTCTAGAGCCCGGAGTTTGCCACGAGGAGAACAGCAAATCGACAGCAATCGTCATATCATAAGAGTCATGCAGTAGATTATCTATCATAGATTGGCCAACCCAACAGCATCCATCAATCCCGCCTTTCCGAGCTCTGCCAACTTCTCTCTCTCTCTCTCTACCTTCTGCTTTAAGCATCATCCAAAAGCCGAATGATCACAATCCCCTGCAACAGCCCTCGTCAGAATCGCGACAAAACAGATGCGATCGATCGACTTGTCAAACACACTGACAAACAACAATCCGAATCACCGTTGACCCGAGGCAGAACTAAGATACGTCCACCAAAAAAAAAACAGTCTAGAAAAACCCAAAATCGTCCGCATGACATGCTTCAGTACACCGGTTCCTGAGGACTAACGACTTGCAGACTTACAGTGTGTGGCCATCTACTACTACTACTACTACTAATACTACTACTAGTCAGACTAGAATGTTGGAGGGCTGAGGACTGAGGGCTGAGGACTGAGGACCAGCAGAGATAGAGATTAGAGAGAGAGAGGATCAATTCCTCCGAATGCGGGGTCTCTCCCCGGACAATAATATCGAGCTATCCTTACTTCACTACTAGTTCGTCGACGATGTAGACTAGACAACTTAGACAGAATGACAGATACCAAGTGTTGACTGTAGACTGTTGACTGCTATCTAACTGCTAAGTCTATCCATCTGCTTGCGTATTCATGCGTCTTGATAGACTACAACTGGAAGGCAAGAAGATGGTGATGGTGATGGGTTGGGCATCTCCGCGGGAGTTAGTCACTGCGTTTATAAGAGGTTGGGGTCGGTCAGCCATACAAGGAGGTATATTTGGAGTATCTAAGAAGACGAGATACTCCGCAGGTTAACTGGTTCAGTATAAGGTAGGAGTCACCTCAGCAGTTAGATACCAACTATCATTATTTCAAGACTGAAGAGTCAATTCTTCGAAGGATTTTTCTGCTCAAGCCAAGTGTCTAGTACTAAATAGATACGGAGGCTGTTTGATAGTGTGGGCTAATTAAAGTAACCGGTCTGGCCCTGGTGGATAGACAGGGACTTAGGACTAGGAGAAACCCTCAACTCAGTCACGTTGACAAAAGTGACAACCACTGGGATCAAATAAATCCCATACCAAACATGTCAAGTGACCTCATCGGTTGCCTCCGTAGACAAAAAAAAAAAAAAAAAAAAAGAAAAGAAACACCTCGGCTCCAGGTACACCAGATCAAGGGGCAGACCCAGCCATCACCCGGCTGATCGCCTCCTCATGTTCCTCCTCTTCCATCTCCCGCTGTATGATCTCCCTCGGCCCAATCCCAGCTAGCCCCCAGACTCCCGGTCTGCGGCGCGCCAGCAGCTCCGCGGCGGGTAGCTCCTCCGCATGGAGATGCGCACCTGACCTGCGCAGCAGCAGGACATGCTCCGACAGCCCGGCGTTGGCTGCCAGGAATAACGGTGTGCGCCCGGTGCGGTTGCGGATATGCACCGATCCTCCCTGCAGCAGGAGGAAGCGGAGGATCTCAATCGATGGCGAGTTGGCGGCGAGGTGCTGCATTGGAGATGTTAGCTCTTTTTTTTTTTTTTTTTTTTTTTTGGCGGTCGTTGGATCATAGACCCTCGGTGGGAACTTACGATCGGAGTGTTTCCCGAGTAATCCGCGTCGTTCAGGATCCAGTGGTGCTCGATCTTGAAGATCTCCTGCACCCGTTCAAAGTCGCCCTGCGCGATCGCGTATCCCAGCATCGTGAGCGTTTGCACGCGCTCCGGGAGTGCACCGTCCGGGTGCCGGAAGAGAGGCTGCGACACCTCGGTCAGCTCCCCGCGAATCGACACCGACATGGCCTTGGTCACGGACTCGGATGTGGCGTCAGGAAAGCCGAGCAGGTAGGCCAGCTTCGTCAGAGCGGCTTCGGTGGTCATGTCCAGGCCTGCAATCACGCCCGCCCGGGACAGGCTCATCCCCGGCGCGTATACGGGGCTCACACTGCCAGTCAAGCCTGTGGTGGATCAGAATGCATTGAATCATCGCGGGGAACAACGCGAGGGTGACTGGTATAGAGAACACTTACATTGGGTGACATTGACGATCACGATCCCCCTCTTGATGGCATCGGCAAGCACGTTGGTCATGGCATTGTCCTGACCATGCGGCGCGTTTCCAGCGCCAAAGGTCTCCAGCACTAGCCCGCGAAGCCCCTCCAGCCGCAGCACGGCGTCCACCATCTCCGGCTTAATCCCAGGGAAGATGCGCAGACATGCCACGCACGCCGTGTCCAGATTGGTCTGGATGCTAAAATGCTTGAGGCTTCTGGGCCGGTTGACCAGCTCCCAATTGACACTGGTGCGCATCGATGTCGTGACCGCCAGCGGCGCACAGTTGGGCGAATCGAACGCCGCAAAGTCACTCGCAGCGACCTTGGTCGACCGGTTCCCGCGGAACAGCTTGTTGTTGAAATACAGACACACCTCGGGGATCATAAAGTGGCCAGCCACAACCAGCGACCCCAGCAGGTTATCCGTGGCGTCGTTCTGGAGCTCGAGCATGGGCGCCTGCGCGCCCGTCAGCACGACCGTCTTGCCCAGATTCTGCAGCATGAAGCTCAGCGCCGAGCACGTATACGCCAGGCTGTCGGTGCCGTGCAGCACGACGAACGCGTCGAACAGCGTGTAGTTGCGCTCGATCGTGCGCGCGATCTCCGTCCAGCCCTTCGCGTCGATGGAGCTGCTGTCCAGGAGCTCCTCGAACTCGAAGACCGTGTACCGCACCCGCCGCCCGTAGGCCGTCTGCGGCGTGCGCAGGCTGTCGTGGGCCTTGACCTCCGCCGCCGCGTTGACCACCACGTCCATCACCGTGGAGGTCGAACCATCGTTGAAGGTAGGTACGCGCGCCAGACATTGCTCCTGGAAGCCCCGGGCGGGTACAAACCCCGACGACGACTGCTTCATACAGATCGTGCCGCCGGTCATGATGATCAGAACCCGGGATTCGGGGGTCGTGTCCTCCGGCTGCTGCTCCAACAGCTCGGGGATGACTGTGTCGGAACCCGCCATGGCGCCGGCAATTAAAAAAAAAAGAAAATAAAAAGAAATCCCTCAAGATGCGTCGAAGAGGACCGAGAAACCCTCCTTGGATTAGATACTCTCCAGTAAATATGCCCGAGATCCCTCCTAATCAGAATATTCGACAATTTCGTAGAATATCCACAAATAACCAGTCCAGAAAACAGCGATTGGGGTCACCGAGACTATATCTGAAATTCCAGGCACCAAGAGCTTATCAGGTCATAAGCTTATATCTATGGAGTGTAGAAAAGAAAAGGGAAAAAAAAAAACTGCCATCCCCATCGTGAATTCATGACACTCTCTGTTCAGTGAGTCCCACCTCATCTGGGAAGAAGTTGGAGTTATTTGAGATTTTACTCATCCTCACTATGGAGTACTACTTACTCCAACCAACAAATTCCCTCATTACGTACAGCGCAAAGCAATCGATGTTTCGGCCGCAAATTCTGCTGGTGATGCGCCCCACTGGTTGGCCAGGATGATTTTACGGCAACAGGCTGACATTCCACGGGCAAGTCGCGGATCGCGATAGTCATTTGGTAGATCAGAAGACGATAAGGTTCTCTCTAGCTGGATCTGCAAGGCTGTGGTAATTATTTTCTACCTATCTTAATGTAATGTGATGTGATGATGGGGTATTGGTGGTTTAACCAGTTGGCCACTGACATGGCTGTCTGGCCTTCCAGGGATTCTGCAGTCATCTTGGACAGTTTTGAAAAGCTGCTTACGGCCTTATTACCTTCCTTAAGGCAGTATCAGTGTTATAAATATAAATATATATAACTTCATAAGCAATATCAACAATGGGAGATATATCACAGATGTTCTGTTGCACAAGTTTGGAGTTGTTCTCCGAGCTTCACAGCTCAGCGTGGATCATAATCAGAGTATGGAGTGGAAACAATCCACCTAGGCATTTATCAGATGGCTACACCATGATTTATGTAGACTATGGCAAATAATTATAGACCATGATTTCCTTACGACTCTTGAAAAGAGGATTACGAAACTTACTAATAACTTGAGACCTGGCCATTGGGAACGATGAAACCAGCAACAGTCTTGCTGAAGCACGCACTAATTCAGCCATGGATCATCAAGCAATTGCCTTGCCGTCCTGCGCCCCTTTGGCAGCCATTGCAGCATGGACCGCATAAACTGCATAAACATCTTTTGTTCTTCTCCAGCCAGTCGCGTCTCTAAGCTCCCCAATGAGACAGGCGGTATGCTTGCATTCTTAAAGGCAATCCAGGCACCTGCATGTCCTTTCGCATAACGGAATCATTAGAACCCAAGGAGGGTGCCTACCACTGGTGTCAAAGCATTGCTCCGTCGTCTCACTGCGTCCAATATATTGACTCGGTGGGGATCCAATCAATGCCACCATGACCACCTTGGGCGTCAAATATGTTCCTAAAGAGGTGCTCTCCTTCGAACAGATCCCAGATCTACCAGGGTAAGCAAAGCACAATGATGGGGAATTGAGAGAAGCGTTGCACTCGCCAGACATGCTAGATTCCATATGTCAATAGCACTTCCCCATGGCATTTCCAAAAAATAACCCCTGGCGCCCTATAGTTATGCGGTTGAACTAACGGGCCCAATTCCGGCGTCTTCCCAATTCGTGCCTCGCCAAAGTCACACAGGACTGGCAGTCTGTAACTTTGCCCTCTGGCAGGTTTTAGGAATCGCCGACTCTTATATATGGTGCGTGCTTCATCAATAATTTTCCGAGGGCTAGGACGCTCTGCTTCTGCTTTTGCAAAATCAGCTAGCATGGTGCCGTCTTCGAGGCTGAGCATTATGTTGTCGGTCTTTAGATCTAGTCTCGGTCAATGAAGGAAAACTCAACCCAGAGGAAATGCACATTGAATCACCTGCATGGATTATCTCAGCTTCAGTATGTAGAAATTCAAGGGCCAACAAGAGTCGCCTCAGCGTCATTCTGAGAAGAGGAAGATTGAATGGCTTTGGGTTGAGTCGCATCATCTCAAGGACAGTTCATATGCATAGGCTGCAACACAAGACATTGATGTCTCCCGATATGCCCTTGTAGACTAAACGAGTCATAAAGCCCCCGAATCAATGATGGACCCGGGTGCTCAGAATTGAGCCTAGAGAGATGAGCGTAGATTTTAACCTCTCGATCAGTTGCAGTGGGAAACTTTAGCAACGACGTGGACACCTTCAACGCCTTGAATTCGAGTAAGGCCCATAACCAAGCTTACCCGCGACTTGATATCGGGATTCATAAACATCTCCAAAATTGATTGGATAGTACTGTTCGGCCGGGTGATAAGGCAAAGTCTCTTCCTCAACCGATATTTCTCGAGAAAAATTCAAGACACTGGAGATTGCTCGTGAGGATGGATTTTGTTGCAACCTGCGTCTCCAAACGCGTAATCGTGAAAGCATACTTGCCTCGGGATCCCGAAGGGTGATGGACCGTGCGTGGTATAAGTATCAGCAGAGAGAGCCGAAAGCGTTTTGTGGTTAATGCAGATTTATCTGCTGTAATTCGATGTTATTGAAGTGTCAAATATCAATCATGTGCTTGAGCTGATTCAGCTCATTTGCAACTCGAAGCGTGTTTACATGCTTATCGCAAGATTTATGGGCATCAATAGGCTACTGACATTGCCAAGCTGCATGAGTGCGAGACAGGGATGATATGCTGATCCCCTGACATTGATAAACACGGGGTACCCAAAATAGACCAGTCAATATTGCTGCCTAGTACCTATTCAAGGGCATGGAAAAGGTGTTGCCTTGCAATATTAATGCCGGGATAGACTTGTTCGCTGCCCTGTATCGATGTCATTCATGATTGCAAGTGGAATCGTAAGATTGCTGCTGCATAGCTTTGTCGAGCTTCGACAGCAAGAAGTTACTAAGGTGATGATGCACCCAGATCAAGTCATTTGACTGACTAAGTACCTCTTCTCGATTCTTCCCGATTTCATGTCGTCGTTGAGGTATTGCATCTCCTCAAAACAAGGGCTTCATTATCTCGATCCTGGATATGGGATGATTCTGCCTCCAAGTCAGTAGCTAGATTGTCGGATATCTTGTCGACTGAGCCTGTAATGTTGGCATCGAATTTCAAGAGCTCCACTAGTTGGATATCGCATTGATCACTTCAGAGTAGTACAGAGATAACATTCCGCGTTTCAGATGCGAGATGGAGGCGGGAACTGCAAATAGATAGGTTTCCCCAGAGGATTGGAGATTAAGATCGAGTTTATTTGGCCCAAGCTTCTCCAGAACCGAGATAAGGTGAGACATGTTGGATTGGTAGGTCGTTCATGAAGACATGAACATGATGGGCTGATCCCTGCAACATTTGAGACATACTGTTTGGGAAACGAGATGAAGGGTCTCTGCTGCTCTGGGGAATAATGGGTTAGAAGTGGAAGTTCACGACGTGGATGGTGAGCTGGACATACACGTAGTACATGTGAGAAGGAAAGGCCGTTTTGTATTTACACCATGGAGAGGTTTTGCGAGTTGCGCATGACATATTATTGTTTGTTGGGCCCGACTCTATCCTTTTAACAACACTCGATGGTGGCTAGCTGGCGCCAACTGGTAAAGTAACACCCAGAAAATGTTATGTGTCCATCAACTGATGTCATCGTGTTTCAGATTTGATTTTTCATTTCCAAAATGCCTTGAAGAAAGAGAGGAAATTGAAAAGGAGCAAAAAGCGAGACTATCGCTTCGATGAAACAAGCTAAGAGAACACCGCCAACGCCAAGCACCAACGCTACGCGAGAACCACCCAATGAATCCTTGCGAGAAAACGCCTTCGTGATGCATCCTTGTTCCTGACTAGTGGGAGTTGGGACTGTGGAAGGCAACCGTTGACTTTGGTACCTGAAGGCCCGAGTTTGAGAGCGATGACTGATGACTTGCATATCCCAAATGTCACTCAATTAGGGACGGTGAGAGACTCTCGAAGCAAAACCACTATAGCAGTGGTGATCTTCAGGGGTAAAATCATGGAACAACTCTCATCATTCGAGTCCCACCAAAGAATTTTTCGGTTCTTCAATCCTGAATCATGACTGAAATTGACAATATTAATCAAATGAACAGTCACACTAAGAGTGGAGGTCTGTTGGGAACGGTCATGATCCCAAACCCAGGGGGCCGCCGCACTGCCTCCCTTGGTGCCCCTTTGGATTATCAGTTGATAACTGGACTATAGCTGTTAATCTTATTGAATTAGTGAACATGTTCCCTCAAGGGTTGAGAACACTCTTTCGTGTCGCACGACGGCACGAGGCGCCTTGAAGGCCCCCAAACGTCCAAGATCCTGTTCATGATGCCTCCGAATCGACTTGTTTCATCTTATCCAGGTTCGTTTCTCTGCTCCCAATCCCATCTCGTATCCCAATCCCATAAATACCGCCCCAGCCCTCTTCCCCCCTTTGTTACGAGGCTATGAAGTATGAGTCGATGGGACCCTCTTCTGTTTGGTCGCGGAGTCCAGATCCCCTCCCGTGGCTCGATAGCGCCCCCGGCTTGTTGGAACCTGGAAATTTGGGGAGTTGGGAGAAATTGGAACTCATTCGGCAATTTCTGATACTACTCCGTAGTCAGAAGTAAGTCAGTGTATGAGGTGGGTTCTACCTATCGGAGTGCAGTCGCGGGTAAGGTGCGCATGATTGTCGCCCTGGTCAGACACCACAAGACTGCCCTGTTCAGAGGCCAAGCACGACTATTTTCTTCTGATTTGTTGCTAGATAGCTAATGAAATGGCATAGGGGAAAATAATTCATTTTGAAAAGAGTATGAGGGTGTGAAATGATAATGCAAGATTTGATAGCCACGATCACTTAACTAGTAGCTTAGTCTGTCTGGAGATATCTGCTACCTAGATATCTGCTAAGGCAGTGTAGTATTCCGGTTGGAGCCAATCACAAGACGTAGTTCCAAGTTAGAATCAAATGACACCAGAATGGGTCCTCGTTTTGTTGTTCATTCTTCTCCTTTTTGCCCCTAGTAGTTGCTCTTTTTAAATAACGTTGGCTGCTCCGTACTCCATATTTCCTCCCTCCCTCTCCACCAAGTCCTCGTCTGTCTGCTGCTGCTGTTTCTTCTTTTGCTCGCTCTTCTCCCCCTCCCCTTGCGACCCTCGCTGTCGTCCCCCTTCACTCGTTCTCATCGCTTCCTAGGCGCTGTGGTCGTCGTTTCCACTCCTTTGAACTCGAGTGCCGAGTCTCTATCACTTCATTCAACTGCAGTTTCACTCCTTCGCCCCAACTTCGCGTCATTCGTTTCTGATCGTTGATCTGATTTTGTGCAATTCCACTACACACACTACTACTACGCCTGGGGCTTTTGAGGAGTCCTGCATTCCAGTCAGCGTCCTTTCGCCATATCGTTGGGCCCTTACCAGTACCTGAAAGAATCGATCGGCAAGTCCGACAACGATTGTCCCCCAAGCAGAAGTATATGTACGTACCAGACCTCTTTTCTCTCTACATGACTTCCTCGGTCCTTCTGGTCATTCCCCAATGCAACGCTTCAGCTCCCATCCGGTTTTCCTTCCTATTGCCCTTCCCTTCCTTCCCTCTTCCCTCTCTTGGATTCAGATCCTAAACATCCCTCGTGGGGCTGTGGTGGCAAGAAGAATGTAGCTGCCACTCTGGATGCAAGGGACATTCCCCTGTGCAAGAGGAACCACTTATATCCTGGCAATTATGAGGACCAAGTACCCCTATGGATCCTTGTGCATTGGATCGTGTTCCTGACTGGAGCTGAGTTATACTGTGTCTTGGATGAGCATGTTATGTCATTGTTGTTGTTATTGTTGATGTTTTGTATCGGATCGATCGCCCTTATTACTACATCCATCCCTCGGATGAATGCTCTAATGTATGCTCCCTACCGTGGAGGTATCACTATCATCAACGGCCGCCACATTGGACCTCCTGTTTCCTTTCTTTCTCTCCTTCTGTGGTTTGATCTATATGTGTCTGGCTCTTACTCATTCGCTCCTGGTGACGCTTTTAGCCGGCCATCTCGCTCCCTTAACACACGACACTTCCTCCACCTATCCAATACATACAACAGCTTCCAAGTCGATTGATAGCATTCCGCAACCATGACTCGAGCCTTGCGACTAGACATCGGTCTGGTGACCAGCTTACTCGCCCTCTCCGGTCTGACTGATGCTTTCTGGCGTCTCCCTTGTCGTGGACGAAGTGGTCTGGCCAGAATTGATCCGCTCATGGATCCTGGCCGTCCGTCTTCGCACGTCCACACGGTCCATGGGTCTGGTGGTGAGTGCAAGAGCTTCAGTTGGGACGCCGGGCAGTCGTACTGATCGATGTTGGATAGCCTTTTCCATGTCAGCCGATGCGGCCGATCTGAAGGCATCGGACTGTACTTCGTGCGCTATCACGCAGGACAAGTCCGCGTACTGGGCTCCGGCACTGTATTTCATGCACGAGAATGGTGAGGCAGAACTTGTGGACGAAGTCGGAGGCATGCTTGTGTGCGTATTCTGCTCTGCTATCAGGCGCCAAATTTGCTGACCATGCGCCCCAAAGCTACTACCTACTGTACGGAAACAACGTGACCGCCTTCCCTGACAATTTCCGCATGATTGCGGGCGACAATCTCCTGCGCGACTTCCCCTGGCCCGTCCCTGATCCTCCCAAGTCGGAGTGGACTGGCGACCAGTCCTCCCAAAAGGCTCTTGAGCAGAAGGCCATCGGTTTCAACTGTCTTAACTATGCGCTGACCCCGGAACCATCCCTTGGCCGTCATTTTCTGCCCAATAAGACCTACCTGGATGAGCACTGCCCCGACGGTGTTCGCTTTGAGCTAATGTTCCCTTCGTGCTGGAACGGCAAGGACATCGATGCGGACGACCACAAGTCCCACATGGCCTATCCCTCGCTGGTCATGGACGGCACCTGCCCTGAGGGTTATGAGACCCGCGTTGTTTCGCTCTTTTATGAGACCATCTGGAACACCTATGCTTTCAAGGACAAAGAGGGCTACTTTGCGATCTCTAATGGTGACCCAACCGGTTATGGCTACCACGGCGACTTCATGCACGGCTGGGAAGAAGGCGTCCTGGAGCAGGCTGTCGAGCAATGCACCAGCTCGTCTGGACAGGTGGAGGACTGCCCTGTCTTCAAGCTTCAGAGTGAGGACGACCAGCGAGCATGCAAGTTCGATATTCCCCAGGTGCTCAAGGGTGAACAGCTCGTCCTGACCAGCGAGGGTCTTCCCAACGACCTTGCGGTCCAATGGGGCCCCGCTTATGCCAAACCGCTTGCTTTGGTCTCCTCCGTGGTCTCTAGTGCGCTCAGTGCAGCCACCGAGGAGGTTAGTTCTGTGGTCCAAGACCTGTCTCTCAGTGTTAGTGCCATCGCCAATAACCTTCAGGCAAGTCACCCCACCGCGACGGCTGAGCCATCGACATCGACCACCCTCCCGCCCACAACGACCTCCACCCCAACACCAACATGGACCCCGACCCCAACCACTTCCTATATTGAAGGCGCCGTGACTCAGGCGGTCGTCTACGTCGAGCAGGAAATCATCGTCTGGGTCGACGGTCAGAACAACATCATTGGCACCTCGACTGGAGGCCTGGAGACTGTCTCCAGCTTCACATCAACCACCACCCGGACCATCTCGACCGTTGTCACTATCCCAACAGAACCCCCCGTGAAGCGCGACGAACATGCTCACCATGCCCACAAGCGTCATGGCCATGGCCACTTGCACCGACGGGGCAACTGAGCAACTGTGAGCTCATCCTTACCGTTTTCACCACACCTTCGGTCCGGTTGCCTGATGTTTCAGTACGAGAGGTCAGCTTCTATACTTAGAAGTGAGACCACTCCTCCTGAAGGATTCGCTCGGATGCAACCTCAACAATCTTTCTATCAGGATATCCCCCGTTTTCTTCTTTTCCTACTGTCCATGTTTTCTTCACTTTTCTGTACATTGTTCCAAAAAGCCCCCGCTTTTCCCCTCCCAAGGGACAAAGGCGTCCGGACTCGTGTTTGTCGGTAGATGAGCAAGATGATCCTGTTGAATATATTCTGATCCTGGGGCTGGAGAGATCCAGTCAACAACGGCCTTTTTTGCCCAACCTTGTGCGGAGTCTTCCGTAGATCGTCGACAGAGACCTAGCCATTCGGTAGATAGATAGTCGATTCAGCTGACTGATGCTTCTCACAGTGTGACAAAAGGATGGAGTGAGTGAGACAACCCGCCACCACATTACCTATCTGCCATTTGACCGATCATCCTTACTCTGATCCACAGCATGTACGATCCAATCAATATTATGCAGGGTGCCGGGTCCCTCCATCGCAGGAACCTCTGACTCTTGTTTAACTGGTCTTATTTTATGTATGTCTCAGACAATAAATCCTGCTCAACTACCACCCTATACACATCTAGTAATTGACCTCGTTCCAAGGCAGGCAGACATACAATAACTTGTACTCCATAGTATCTCTTCTATTTCCCTCCCAGGTTCAAGTCACTCTATATAACAATCATTCATCCTACCTGAATCCCCCTTCTCAGCCCCCACCAACATCTCACCTCACCTCAACTCAATCCAACCCAACCCAACTGAACGCAGCCTTATCCTGAAGTTCCATCACCATCAAAGAAAAACACCACCAAAATGCCCAACCACCACCGCTCCCTTTTCCTCACAGCCCTCCTCGCCGCCACCGTCGCTGCGATCCCCCAGAGCCAGCCGACCCAAACCCCCTCGCCCTCGCCCACCTCCCCGCCAGCCTCCACCATCACCACCGTCCCCTCCACAACCTGCCCCCCCGGTTCCACCCTGCACACCACCACCGACTGCACCCTCGGCTTCCCAGTTACCTACTGCCACAGTCCCATCCCTCTGACCACCCACTGTCCCTCGGGCTACTTCCCGGGCCTCTGGTCCCCCGGCCACTGCGAGGTTGCCGCGACGTGCTACGCCGTCGACTCGCCGTGGATCACAACCTCGTGCTCGCACGGCGGTATCCCCTGGAGCACGTCGACGCTGTACAGCGGGATCCTGGAGGGCGAAACGACGAGTACGACGATTAGTAGTAAGTTTTTTTTTTTTTTTTTTGGTTCCTCCGCCCCCCTTCCCTATCCTAGGCTAGGCTAGGCTAGGCTACCGGTTGATACACGCGATCCCGCATCACCCGCGTTAACAATCGATGATGATGATGATGATGATGACGGTGGCTAAATGTGTTTTCTTTCTTCGCAACCACAGTCGTGTCGTGCTCCTGCGCCAGTGACCAGTATTACAGCGCGACCTCCCTCCCCGGTCGCTCCACCTACGATAACTTCTGCATGCCCTCCAGCAAATGCCCCAGCGGTATGACCAGCACCACCTCCACGAACGAGTACTGCGTCACTGCGACGGCCGAGTGCGCGACCTGGAACTTCCCGACCGTCACGGAGAGTTGTTATTGTGCCAACCCGAGCCAGACGGCTGTTTATCCGAGCGGGGATGGGGCTGTTGCGACAGGGTGTGCGGCGATCTGAGGTTGAAGAAGGAACGAATGGGTAATGTTTTTTACGTAGATCATATGGGTGATAATTGACTGATGTGGTTATGTTGGATAAGTCAAAAAAAAGGGGGGGGGAAGGTTGTTTGTATTAAGAAAAGAGAGTTTGAACATATCATTTTGTGTTTAATGAAATTAACATCGCCATATCTTGGGCGCCATAATCCAATCCCAGTCCGTCGCAGAACGCCTCTAGCTGAATCCAGTCAAAAGTCTTCGTGATATTTATTTCCGTGACCAGCGTGATAAGATATGTATTTAAGCTGTCGGGCCCAGTGGTGAGAGCCAGACCCCATCTTCAAGCCAAACTCCCGCAGGTCCATACTTGCCCGCCTCGGCTCCTCTCAGGAACGCAAAGCGGAAGAATAGATCTTCGGGCTTGTCGCCGTCCTTTGCATCGGCAGAGTTCATTGTGAACTCACCGTCGCTCTCAATTGTGGGTCCGTGTAACAGTTCGAGGCCGTTGTGTCCATGCCGGTGCCATGTAAACTCTCCACGCTTGTCTTCGTCCAGGTATCCTCGCCAACGTTCCACGTCATTGACCAGAACGCTCACGCCATCAACGTCCAGCTTGGCCATGCGCTCTCGCTCCCAAAGCTCAAAAGTGATGTTGCCATTCCCAGGGTACCGTTCGGGCGACCCCACACCGGGAAGTGAGATAATGACAGATGCATCCGTGATATTCGGATATGTTGACCCCCACCAGCCTTTGACCCCGTCAAAGCCAGGAAGCTGCTCGCCCAGGGCTGCAGGAGTCTCAATGATTGAGGCAAAGCCCCACCGCGCCACCCCATTGATAAAGAGCCCGAGAAGTAACCCTTGATAGATCAGCGACGGCCGTGTGGGAAGAGCCGTCCCAGGCATCAGCAGAATGGCAAGGATGTAATGATGGATTCGCAGACGAAGCCCGGGCAAAGGTAGCAGGATCAGGAGAACAAGGCCCATGGTGCAATAGACCTTGAGGTAGTGCGGCATCAACCCACCCTGTCGGATCTGCCAAGCCTGGCTCAGAATAACAATGGCCACAGTTGGAATCACGAGCGCCAACGCCAGTTTCGCCCCAGGCTGCTGCTGGATATCATGAGGTGTCAGGCGCTCCAGAGGAATCAACCTGGCAAATGTGTAATTGTTCAAGCCGCCAATGAAAGCGGGCGGCAAGAATAGAAACATCTTTGTCAGCTGGTACTTGGGGGGAGACAATGGCGTCAGAAGTGGACGTGCACAATACTTGTACAGAACATAGACCACAAACGAGGCTGGAAGCAAACGAGCAAGTAAGCTCGACACAAGGTCGGCGAACTGAGGGAATGAGGGCGGGTCGGAGACAAGGCCCACTTGACAAAAAAGCATGAAGAAAGTGCTGCCAAAGAGGATCGGTGGTGATGTCGAAAAGAGCCATAGTAGGCCGAGAGCGGCAATAGTCACGCCCAGGAGCGACCATCGGGGATCCTTAGGACAGGTCGCCTGCGATGAGGACAAATCGATAAAGCTGAATGACTTGGGGAAAGTGGATGGAAACCCCACCGATTGGATGCCATTCTGTTTCGACGCGGGAAACGTGTGTGCTGCTCCCTCCAATTTCACAACTCCACAACCGCCAACAGCGTTGGTGATGACGCCGGCATGGATAGCAGCCTGGCACACAAAACTGTCGGCTCGATACACGCCGGGCTCCGATGATCCCGGTTGGGGCCCGCCAACCACAAGCCTCTGGTAACTGAAAGTATGGTTTCCCACGGTATGCGGTGATAACAACTTCGCATCGCGACAGTTCGCCGGACAGCGGAAGGCAACGGTCGAGGCGGAGAATGGACGACAGTCGTTTCCATTAAGACCACATTCATTCCCATGTTCCCTAGATTAAACCTGTCAGGACACTGATCTATAATCAAAGAGACGATAGATAGATACTCACCAAAAGGTCGTCGCACATGAGAGCGTCTGCGGCCGTCCATATCCCTCGATATAACCAGCGGAACGGGAATGGACTAGGACAATCGTCCAGGGCAGAAACCAGGTAATATATAAGAGTATAAGTAAAGAGATCTTGTGCTTCCGCTTAGGGAAGAATTGCTCCAGGTACCGGACCGGGAGCTCTTGGATGTGAGGGAACAGCGGCTTCAGCAACAACGAATGCGGCGGATTGGGGCCCTTCACCCAGTTCGCAGTTGCGCGGCCGACCTTTCGGATAGGCAATGGCACCCATCGCCAGCGAAAGGTCTTTGAAGATTCCCGTAACCAGACAGGAACATAACTGGAGCCGGACTCTTCATCTCGGAGTAGAGGGTCTTCGGAAGTGTCGGGATCCGCAGCATGATCATCGGCGCCACGTAATGGAGGTACATAGGCCCGAGAACCATTCTCTGAACCTTCGCCGATCATTTCGAAATGTCTCTATTGAGACAGATATCGATCGAACCAGCGATAAAGATAGTAGTATGAAGATGGCAAGTAGTAAGAAGAAGAGAGTGCCGTCTCCAAATAAGCGGCCGGATCTAGTACAGGCAGCCGATAAGAAGGCTAGAGTGGGGTCCGTAGTGACGGTATAGAACAAAGAATAAAGCGCTCACAATCACTGGAAAAGCCTCGTTGATTGCTTTAATGATAAAAGAACATGTTCAAGACACAACAGACGAGAATGACAGCATATATGATGGCAAAGATATGATTGATGGAAGAATGAGAGACGATGCAGTTCAACAACTTCAGTCAGTTGGAGATTGACACGTGCCTTAGTCAGCTGCTCATGGCAGTCAGCAATGGAATTGACCAATCAAAAGAAGCACAACTCGACTGCCTACTGTGTAAGTACGGAGTAAGTAAGGCATTTGGCGCCAGTCAGTGGCTGCCCTGCCTCTTGAGAATGACTCTGTGGTGGCAAAAGAGGGTGGATAAATAATGCAGAGTTATGAATGGATGTTTCTCTCCCTGCACAGATTTAGGCAGTCGTTATGGATCAATAACAATGATTACAGGGAGATGTACAGAGTAATTATAATATTATTACGGAGTACTCCGTAGAGAAAAGTAAGGAGGCATAAGGTAGGTACCCCTGTATGGAGGTGCGCATAGGTTTATGCATAAGTGGGCTTAGCACCACGTGACTTTGACCCAATAGCCTGTCGCAGTCAAGTGCATTCACCTGATGTCTGGCCCACTTATGCATAGACTTATGAAGCACACCTCCGTAGTTGAAACGACTTTAAAAAGGTCCCTGGAATCTGGATATGAAGCTGTAAGGCCTCCTCACTCCTGTATCTCAGTAGTTAGTTACTATCATGCAGCAGTGTGGGGATCAGATCAGAACTTCCCCAGATCTGCAATCAAACGTCTTCTTGAATCTCAAATCCTCAAGAATAACCGAGAATAAGAGATATCAGCCATGACAGCTGGATGAACTGTCTAAAAATAAGGCATTTGTTGGGGATTCTATGACAGACACAAGGTGGATTCGCCGTGACGCTACCATAAAAGCCTTCGTAGAATGGGGGCTTTCCCGAGACTTATGTCTTCTCTGGGGTATCTTTAATTTCCCTCGTTCAGATGATATCAGATCAAAGGCAGAGAAGAAAGAGTATCAATTGCTGATTCGTTCGATAAGGCCAGTTGATTCCGAAGCTAACAAGAATCTATCAACCTCTCAGCATTAGTCGAGGCCAATGCAGGATGGATTCTAATAAGTTAACGAGTTCAACGGCGCCCCAGATGGCGTTGAAGCTGCTTATCAATCATCGTCAATCATGGTGAACCTTAGTTCGCTTTTAATGAGATAGTCAACAAACAGGATCCATGGGCCTTTCATCAGCCTGCTCAATTCCTTATCCCCAGATTGAGCTGGTGTTCCCTTGCCCTCTCGATTACTCTTCACCAATTCTCCATCTCAACACTGCCAAAGCGCATACACGTTTAATATGGCTCGCTCAGGATGTCCAAAACAGTCTGCTCCTTTGGATCTTTCACATCACTTCTCTCAAACTACAATTCGACGTGAATCAAGCAACCTCAAAAGGTTGTACAAGTACTTTGTCATTCCTGGCATGGGGAATCTCGCTGGCGGTATGCATGCTGTGCTTCTTGTCTATCAGTGTTATAAACCGTTTTCTGACCTTTCCTCTTTCCTAGGTATGCCACATGCATCATACTTTCCGTACGACACGCTCGAAGCCACGGCTGCCCGTCCTCAGCGTTTTGAGCCGACTGCAAATGATACGTTGACAGCCCGTAAGAATTCGAACTTATCGATTCACATGACTGTGCCCAAAGAGTGCCAAACAGACGACTTGGAAAAGAAGATTGATATAACTACTGCCTTGCAGTACAGCACAGCAGAGGGATTGCCTCCCATGGCATCATTTGTCCGCAAATTCACTAGAGACCACTTACACCCCAACGTACCCTATGCTGGAGGACCAGATACTCTTCTCAGCTGCGGTGCGACCGACGGCTTCAACAAAGTCATTGAGACTTTCACAGCCCCCTGGAGCCCTGAGCGCGATTGGGTTCGAGACCGCCAGGCCATTCTCTGTGAGGAATACGTTTACATGAATCCCATCCAAACGGTCAGACCACGCGGCCTCAACGTCGCATCGGTAGCCATAGATGCGCAGGGTATGTTGGCGTACGGCAAGGGTGGTTTGGCCGATGTCCTCGAAAACTGGGACTATCACGAAGGCCGCCGGCCTCATCTCCTGTATACCATCACGTAAGTTTTAACCGGTCAATGTCGTCATTGGATCACACCATTTATTAGCATGAGGGTGATACAACTAACGTCTTCGGGGCTTTCCCCGCTTGGCTGCAGGATTGGACAAAATCCCACAGGCGGCACCATGTCAGTCCAACGCAGGAAAGAGATCTATGCTCTGTGCCAACGGTACGATATCATCATCGTCGAGGATGATCCTTACTGGAACCTGCAGTATCCATCTGCACAAAGAATGGCGGCCCGTTACCGTAACATTCCCATTGAGGAACCACTGACAACGCAGAATTACAATGCTCACGGGAAATCATCCGGGTACCAATTCTTAGACTCTCTTGTTCCATCATTTCTATCTCTGGACGCAGATGGACGGGTCATTCGCCTAGATACTTTCTCGAAAACTGTAGCGCCCGGCTGCCGCTTGGGTTGGATCACAGCGCAACCCGCCTTCATCGAGCGGATCACCCGTCTCACGGAGACCTCGACACAAAATCCCTCCGGCTTTGTTCAAGCGATGGTTTCGGGCCTGATCATTGGCCAACCCCCTGACAAGAAGGATGCCAGAGCCAAAGACGACAGTCCATCGGGCTGGCAGATGGACGGCTGGGTGCGCTGGCTGGAGGGTCTCCGTGGAGCCTATGAACGGCGGATGCAGTCCATGTGTAGCGTTCTAGAAGAGTGCAAGTATATCATCCATGGCGATGGATTTGGTGACGCTGCATCGAACGAGGAATGTGGCTGGGAGGTGATTGAGAAAGTACAAATGTACGACTTCAGCTGGCCCATGGGTGGGATGTTCGTTTGGATCAAAGTCCTCTTCAACACTCATCCATTATACCAGAAGTACTCGATGGAGAAACTCTCGAAGGCGCTGTGGGTCCACCTCACGCAGGAACCGTATCTATGTCTTCTGGTTCCGGGTGATTTATTTGCACCCACGCCAAAGTCCATGGATCATGCCTGGCAATACTTCAGATTATGTTTCGCCCCGATGCCTGATGAAGAGGTCGCGGTGATTACAAACAGATTAGTGGATGGATTCCGAGCTTTTTGGCAGAGGAAGAATCTGGATGGCTTAGATGACATCGAAGAGTTGTCGCAGAAGATCCGGAGCCTGCAGGCAGAAGGTGTGAGCAGCATGATGGGAATTGGTTGTTAATATCCATGATACATAAAGCAGCCCTTTTTCTAGGGATTCAGAAGCATTTTTGTAGTTCTAATTAGTCAGAACAACACCCAACCAAGTTTAAGCAACATTGAGACCATCCCGTCCCTTGCATCTTGCATCAAAGATATATATCTCTCAAAAGAGTACAATCAGCAACAACAACAATCAATGCCATACAAAGGAAGTATCTACTACATGGAAGATATTTCCGCCAAATAGGAGAGAATTCGCTCCATCTACTTTGTAGGACACATCATAAACAATATTATCGCATTGTTGCAACGATATGCATGCAGGATATCCAAAGATCAAGTCACGTGATTATTTCCCACCATACGAATCACAATGAAGAAAATCAGTTGTATGATTTCTAAACCCCCAGCTCATTGCGGATTGTATAGTATACCAAAATAAGTATCTACCGCAGAATGGCGCCGCAAGCCGAATCCATACAGAATACCGAACTGGCAGAAGAAATCGAGGCCATCAATGCCATCTACGAACCCGACACCATCACAATCCACAGCACAGCCACGTCAACATCAACAGCGACGACAACCAATTCCACGCTCGACCTGGGTGGCTCCGCCACCAGCCACTCGCTAAACACAACGATCAGACTCCAGATCCCCGACCACCCGCATTTATCCTTCCTCATCGGCTTCGACGCATCCTACCCGGATACCCCGCTCAAGATCCTGGGTACGGCATCGACCGGCGCACGCGGCGAGGGCAAGATTGCCGTGGACGTGCTAGAGGATATCGCAGGGAGGATCTACCAGCCGGGCGCGGTCTGCTTGTTCGACCTCATCAACGAGGCAGTGGAAGCATTCCAGGAGCTGAGTCTGGGAGGCAGCAGTAGCAACAACCAGGAGGCTGAGAGGAAGGAGACGGGCGCGGAGAGTGCTGCACCCACGCTCGAACCGGAAGACTTCGCGGCCCTCTCGCTACAGGACGCGTTCGGCATCGACAGTGCTCCGGACTGGACACTCTCTGATGTGGTGACGGAGAAGAAATCGGTGTTTGTGGGGCGTGCGGTGCGGGTGACCAGCTCGGAGCAGGCGCAGGGGTATCTGGACCATCTGCTTGCAACGGAGAAGAAGGTTGCCGCTGCGACGCATAATATCAGCGCGTGGCGGATTCGGCAGCAGCGGGCGTCGGCTGGGAAGGGCGAGTCCGCGGAGATGATTGTGCAGGATTGCGATGATGATGGGGAGACGGCGGCCGGCGGCCGACTGCTTCATCTCATGCAGTTGATGGATGTGTGGGATGTGATTGTAGTCGTGACGCGATGGTACGGTGGGATCCTCCTGGGGCCGGATCGGTTTCGCATCATCAATGCCGTTGGTCGGGATGCGTTGATCAAGGGTGGTTTTGTGAAGGATACTCCGGCGACTGCTGAGAAGGGTCGGAGGAAGGGGAAGAAATGAAGGTTGGTTCGTCGACTTGACATCGTGATGTTACAGCTACTCGTTGGGTTGTTGCAACTCTACCCTGAAACATGAGCGCTTATGGCTCACCTGTGGATCGCCATGTCCACTGAATGGAAGCCCCTGGCAGGTGACCACCTGGGGATGCAGTTTCCTACACTCTCAGAGAAGCAGACCATGGCTGTTTCGATGTATCTACCCGAAAGGGTCACAATGACTATCGACTACTTCGAGATCGAGGCGATGGTTTGGGATTTTGGGGGTCTCAGCCATCGTACGTTCAAGAGGACCGGTTGTTTGACAAACTTACGGAACATTCTCCAGAATCCTGGAGTTCGGAACTTTTCGTATACGAACAAACCCCTTGTCAGTTTGGGCTTCTGTCGATCTGTGTTCAGGACGTCCGACAGTGGCGAGTGAATTCGACTGGCATCTTGAAACAGATCAGTGTGTCGGGACCGCTACTGATTCTATCTATGATCCACGGCAGTTCAATCGCGGACCCAGGATCGCCAAAGGCTAACTCTATGAGGCGATATTGATGGACTCGCATGGTTCTCAATCCAAGTACGAGAGATGACTTCGATGCCTCCCGAATCATGTCCATCGGCCCAAAACTTGGATTGGCCCCATATTATCCGAGGCTTTTGGTCATATCATGGTACTAGTCGCCTGCCAAAGTGGGTTATACGATGCCTGATACGATGCAGATGGTACCTGCGCTGGTGACACAAGGCCTGCTGCAGCCGAAGTGCAGAACAAAGTCATTATTGGGCGCTGATTCTTGATTCTTCATCTTATCCACGTCAACAGGGTCGCCATCGCACAATTGTGATTGAAATGGACCCAGGACATGGTCACCTCAAGTTATCGAGAATCAATACGATCACCTCCCTTAATCCCGATATAATAATCTTGTGCTGTCGCATGTGCCAGCCCCCAATCAAACTACCTAGATACGAGCGTCCTGGGCTTCTTCCTCTTTAAATGAGCCTGCCTTGGCGAGAACCAAGTACTGAGTAGAGGTAATCACCCCCTTCCGGCACATGATACCACTCCGCAAAATTTTCATCTCAACCACGGATCTGTCCACATTCCATATTAAATTATTCTATGAAAACACATCCAAAATAGATTGTAAGTAGTAAATTATATGCAATAAAGCACTACTAATATTTATATCTAGAAAATAATAGTAATACTACTAAAAATTCAGAAGAAATTTAATTTAATATGCCTATAATACTACTATATCTTATAAGCCTACTATATACCACCCCCCCCTTCCACTACCATCTTTGCTACCTACATAGGTAAGGGAGATTCTAGAAATACAGGCATATAATCTAGGGAGCCTACTTTTTATATTATTATCACTTTCTTCCTTATCTTTAATACTTATAGGAGAATTAGAGATAGAATATAGTAAAAATAAGGGAGAGCTACCTCTTCTACCCCCCCTAGTTATTTATCTAGAGAAAGTAATTAAGGCTATAGATTAATATAAATTTTAGTTAATTTATAAAGTAGCTTATATATATAGAATTAACTACTATACCCTATACCACTAGGTAAAAGGTATATAGTAGCTATGATCTAAGGCTTTTTAATAATTCTAGAAGCTAGATAAAATCTAAGAGGAGGTTCTCTATAATTAGATTATATATTAGATAGAATCTGGCTTCCCTCTAAGCTATAAGATGCTTAGAGATGCTATAAATCTTCTATATAAGTAGAATTACTAGTGATTAGGCATTAAATTTAAGCTAGTTAGTATATACTAGTATATAAAATTCTTTAAATATTATTATGAATTTAAGTAGATATAAGAATCTTTTCTAGATAAGAAATATATACTTTAGGCATAGCCTTAGATTATTTTATCTTTTATTAAGCTCTTTAAGTATATAATAGAGAAATATTATATCTTCTATAAAGATATCTAGAATATAGATAAGAAGGGATTCTATATGGGTATTCTATACTATAAAGAGAAGGTGATTATATATTAAAGCTATCTCTATATATAGTAATATTATACTACTAGCTTAGATAATTAAGAATAGGCTATTATTCTAGAATGCTATAGTATGAATAAGAAGTATCTCTTATTATATATTATCTTTAAAGAGAAGTAGATCTATATAGGCTAGCTACTTTATTTTATAGATTCTAATATATAGATTAGTGTTTCTTTAAAGAGATATAGTGATAGGTAGCATACTATTAAATAGCTTTAATATATCTTTATTCCCTAGATAAATATAAGTTAGATAATATATATAGGGAAGAAGATAGATTAGCTATTATAGCTATTACTAATTAATAGGCATAAATCTTATCTTTTATTCAGATTTATATAGATCTATTAGGATAATCAGATCATCCTAATCTATATGCTACTATATATATCTTATCTATTTTAACTACTAGATCTATATATATTTAGCCTGCTATCTCATACCTATTTAATAGAAGTTAGGAAGCACCTATATATTAGCTAGATAAATATTATAAAGGAAGACTTTTTAGATAGCCTCTTTATTACCTAGAATACTTTAATAATATCTACCTAGATCTCTATAGGCTAGAGAACCTTAGGTCTCTAGCTAATTAACCTAAAAATAGTAATAAAGCATATGAAATAGGCTCTAGAAGAGATAAATACTATTTCTCTATCTCTAGAGCTAGTTACCTCTACCCTTAGCTTTAAAACCCTTATATCAGAAGAAGAATACCTCTCCTATTTTTAGTAGATATAATAGGTATTACCTACTACCTTACTAAAATATAAGAAGTATCTTACTTACCTACTTATTAATAAGTTAAATAGTATTATCCTTCTTTAGAATAGCTATCATAATCTACTTAGTACTACTATTACCTTAAAGAATTAATACTTATAGCACTCTAAAGGGAAGTTTAAGCTATCTCTAGGCTATATCTATAGCCTAGATAAGGCTCTAAAGGCCTGTGAGGCCTAGGAGTTAAAGAAGAAGAAGAAAGATAAGAAAGTAAAGGTTATAGAGGCCTAGAAACTAGAGTAAGAATAAAAGAAGAAGAAGAAGGAAGAGTAGAAGTAAGAGACTTAGACTACTTAAAATTCTATAGTAAATATATTAAAAATAAAGACTTTATAGTCTTCTCTGCCTATTCTACTATCTAACTACCCTTTCTATCTATCTTTAATACTAGCTCTACTAACTCTACTATAGATACTACTACTATAGATGCCTCCACCACAGTAATTAGCTAGCTATATTATTAACTACTTCTCTTAGTGGAAGGGAGAGATAGTAGTATTTATAGAGATTAACTAAAAGTACCTCTTTGAAGCAGAAGGAGGCTCTTAATCTATAGTTAATCTAGAGAGATATTTATATATCTAGACTCTATACTAGCTAGCACTATATCCACTACCTAGTTCTCCTTATTTAACTCTAGATCTAGATAGGCATTCATATACTCCTACCCCCTAGTGGCTCCCACTGCTTGCTATACTAGTGAATCTAGTAAATCTAGTAAATCTAATAAATCTAGTAAATCCAGTGAATCCAGTGAATCTAGTAAATCTAGACTATATAAATAGCTTCACTTTCATGCTGGATAATAAGATATAGATCAAGAAAGAGTAAGTAGATAAGGCTCTACAGACACCTTCTCACCTAGCTAAAAAACACTATCAGAATATGTTAGAAAAATTAGATATTAATCCAGACTTTCAGTATATCTAAATATATATATTTATGTTTTTATTTACTAGGTAATCTAACTAAATTAATAACATTGATGGACTTGATATGAAATGTAAGGAGTAAAGATATATATTTTAATGTTGAGATGAAAATTTTGTGGAGTGGTATCATGTGCCGGAAGGGGGTGATTACCTCTAGTCGGCAGAGCACTATAAACAAAAAAACGCGGGGATGCTCATTTCTCAGTATAGTTAATATTTAGTAGTACTACCAGTAGTATCTATCTGAAACATGAAGCCATACTGCTTGCCGAGACTCCATTTCACGCAACGGTCGTATTTTCGAGATAGTCATTGAGGCTTCGAACGTTGAGACTTGAGACTGTGTGGACATTGAACTTCCCAGGGGCGAGATATGTTACCTAGCACTATCCTAACAGTGTTATTCCATATTATTATTATGACTATGATTATTCCTAAAAGTAAGCGATAAAATGGTCACATCCGACCAGATAATGGTTTGTTCCAGGCATGTTTGCTCTTTGGGTCGGATGCGGAGAATTCAACCATGGCTGGATGATTGAAGGCTGGAGAAGCACCAAAGTTAAGTTGTCTCTCAGTCTCAAGGGATGTGAGACATCTGCTGGGAATCAGTGGCCAAAAGTCTTATTTTTGGTGGTGATGATGGCCGTTTACCGCCATGATGTCGTAGGTACCTATCTAGTATCTACACAGTACAGAGTGCAGCGCTGTGGTGACTGGTGACTGACTGGTGACTGGTGGCGAGAATAATTGATCGGCCTGGTCCTAAGGCAGCTGTCGATAGTTGTTGATACACGTACTGTGTCGCCTGACTGGGCATTTGCTGTCTTTCTTTTGTCTTTCCGAGTGAAGAAGCTAGCCTACTGAGACTGTGACTTGTGCTTTATTCAATGCTCTTCCTTTGCAGTATCTATTATTATTGTATTCATTATTGTATTCATTATTGTATTCATTATTTCCTGAGGATAGCATCAGTCTCGAATCCTACTCAACAATAATCTCCACCCTGGGTACACACTACACACTGATACATAACATTTTTAGCGATCGCCTCCCAGCCAACGACCCAGTCGACATACCGAGCTGCATGTCAAAATTCTCCATGGTCAATGCGGATTGGCAGCTGATCGAGGATTTGCCATCGTAAACGCGCCCACCAGCCTTTTGCCCCAGCCAATGCCACTGTGCAGACCGCTCAGGCACCCAGGACGGGGCTGCCATGGTGCGACATGCCTCGATGGACGGCTACTCTGTACACCGATGAGGAAGAAACTGAATAACTCCAAAAATACTTTCAGCGCGGCTCGGTGGTTACTGGTAACCCCCCTGGCGAGTGGCTAACTGGCTATAGGCTCTAGCTGCAGGCCTGTAGGACTGTAGGCACGCTGAATGGCTGCCATGAATAACTCCTTTAGAGTCCGAGTAGTCTCCAGTTTCCTGGCAAGATTCAACAGCCACACAGATGAGGCGGCGCGTCTCCTGCTGGAAGGATCGGCTGCGTTTTTTTTTCCATTGGCAAGGTTGCTGTAAAGTGTAATCGATTTAACGCTGTGTGCCTGATGCGCTGGTGGAGCGACTTGCGTTGATGGACGTTTCAGGTTAAGCTTGGTGTTGTCCATTGAGAACTCAGATCTGCTGAGTGCTGGTGATGGGCCCTTGGCGCCCTGGAGACATCGCCGCATGTTTGAGCTCTGATTGCTGCATCGTTTTGACAATTCACAGTCTTGACTCTTGATTCGTGTAGCCCATGATTCTTTTGAGTTTTTATTTTTCGGAGTTTCTAGACTAGACTGATCAGGTACCACCGTTCCATGTGGGAAACTGAGGCCGCAAAGAACAACCCCTCTTGCACCGCTATGGTGACTCGACGGCAGAGTATATAACCCACTGGGCATGCCAATGCTGGGCGTCCTTCTCTCTTCTTCTTCTTCTTCTTCTTCTTCTTCACGCTGGTGCGCAATCTATCTTTTTCACTCGACTTCTGTTCGACAGTTTTCATACAGGCTAGTTCCTGTCTTTCCTTTCTTCACTCCTTCTTGATATCATTTTTGGGTGGTTTTGCCTGTGGCAGACTTCAACATTCTTTTCCTTGGAAACAGAGAAACATACGAAGTGTTAAGAGAGACAAGATAAGAAGCCTATTCTTTCCCAGTGTTTCTGTCAATAGGCTGGTAGCCATACAAAGGTATTGTTCTATTCCACTCCCGTGCTGTTGAGCCCTTTCTCTACTGTCTCTTATACTGTCCTTGTGTTTGGCCTCTATTGTTGCTCTCTTCTGCAATTCAGAATGAATGGCAAATAGACGAACACTGTTTCTCTATTAAAGCAACACAGATATGTTGTCAATTAAGGGCTCTATATCTACCTCTCCATCTTCATCCTCTTCTGATACTTCTTGCTAACTTCTCCCCTCAGAAAGCTTCTCCTCGCTCAACCACTTCAATTCTCCAGTCTCTACGACTTTCTGACTCGTCTGGCACGATCAGGAAAAAAGTCACGCAGCCATTCCTTCATTCATTTGCACTGTCGAACAGTATTTTGTGAAATTCCAGAAGTACGACATTCCTTGTCAAAATGTTCTTCTCCAAGTCGGGTATCATGGCTGCTGCCATGCTGGGTGTCTCGGCCGTTGAAGCCCATATGCTCATGCGTCAGCCCACTCCTTACAGCGCATCGACGCTCAACAATTCCCCGCTCGCTGCCGATGGCAGTGACTTCCCCTGCAAGCTCCGCCCCAATGCTTTTGAAGCTCCTGCGCAAGAGACCATCGTCCAGATCGGTCAATCTATGCCTTTGACCTTCACCGGCAGCGCTGTCCATGGTGGTGGTTCTTGCCAGGTCAGCTTGACTACCGATCTGGAGCCTACCAAAGACTCTAAGTGGATGGTGATCAAGTCGATCGAAGGTGGATGCCCTGCGAATACCGATGGTAACCTCTCTGGTGGCCCTGACTCCCCGGACCCGTTCGAGTTCAACTATTCCATTCCCGCTGGCATTGAGCCGGGCAAGTACACTCTGGCCTGGACATGGTTCAACCGTATCGGCAACCGTGAGATGTACATGAACTGCGCCCCCATCACTGTCGCCGGCGGCTCCTCCAAGCGCGAGGTCGCCTCCGCTGAGGAAGTGGAGGTTGAGAAGCGGTCCGCCAACTTCCCCGCCATGTTCGTGGCCAACATCAACGGCTGCAGCACTACTGAAGGCGTTGACATTCGTTTCCCCGACCCCGGTGACAATGTGCAGTACGCCGGCAACCCCAGCAACCTTGAAGCCGCCGGCAAGCCCGCCTGCAATGGTGTCCCCGCCTGGACTGTTGGTGCCGGCTCTAGCTCTCCTGCTACTGCTTCGAGCCCCTCTGCCACATCTGTTGGCGGCGGTGTCAGCATCAGCGTTGGTGTCTCTGTCGGTGCTACTGCTGCTCCTACCGCAGCCCCTGAGTCCGAGTCGAGCAGCGGCGAGTCCGCCGGAGCTGAAGCCGGCCCTGGCGTCTTCGCTCCTACTTCGGTCACGGTTATCCCTCAGCCTGTCGCCTCCTCGTTGTCCTCTGCCAGTAGCTCTGAATCGGGCTCCCAGTCTAGCTCTACCTCTAGCTCTACCTCTAGCTCTACCTCTAGCTCTGCCTCTAGCTCTGCCTCTGGATCGACCTCCAGCTCCACTTCCACCACCTCTGGTGCTCTGACTGGTGCCTGCAATACTGAGGGTCTCTGGAACTGCATCGGGGGCGCCTCCTTCCAGCGCTGCGCCAACGGCCAATGGTCTGAGGTTCAGCAGATGGCGGTTGGCACACAGTGCACCACTGGTCAGCATCAAGACTTTGCCGTCACAGCCACTGCCCTCAAGCCTCGCATGATCAGCGCCATGCGCCACAGGCGTCGTGCCCACGGTGGTCACTCCCACTGAAGATAGATAGATACCTGCAAATAGAAGCAGAGGAGCGAGCACCTGAAGTCTGCTGGTTTCGGATGACAGGTATCTCCTCTATTCATGTTATTTACTTTCATTTTCATATCGCTAGCAACAGTGATGTTTTGTGAAAAACTTTTTCTCAAAAACGCATTCTTTTTTATCTTCCCTCGTGTACATTCTAAGCAATGGAGGTGATTCCCTGGCGTTGGGCGTGGTTTGAAGGGCAAGAGGGAAATGAGATTTCATTTTGGCAAAGAGAACACAGACACTTTTCAATTGTAGGATTCAAATTGCTGGAATATAAGCGTCAGTGACCACCTTCGTTCTGTAGACGTACAAGTAATGCTGTCTTGGCAGGACCTCGACATAGAATCTGTGCAGGTCTTCTGGTCGCTAGATACAAAACAGGATTATTACATGGTAAATCATCGAAGACAAATAAACCATCGGCTTATTTCGACATTAGTCGATCACTTTTATGAACAAGAAGCTATCTAACTAGTAACTAGTATCTTTCTATCAAGTTGATACTATTCAAGTGCGGATATAGTTCTTAGTCATAACACTACGACAGGTGCAATACTACCTAGTCTTGGCACTCGGCAGCGAGCCAACCAAAACGGCAATCAGGGCTTAGGGTTTCCCGCACCCACCACCGCCCGCAGCGGACAAGCTAAGCGAAAATTTCCCTCCAGCAACATCGTGAGTTCGCGACTCGATCTTCAACTCCGAAAAACGACGACAACGACCAGCTCACCGTCGACAACAATGGCGTCTCGCCCTACCGTCACTATCGCCACGGCTGATGGCAAGGCCAGCGGGGCCACCATCCCCCTGCCCGCTGTCTTCACTGCGCCCATCCGTCCTGATATCGTCCAGTATGCCTCACGCTGTCCTACAATTGCTTTGGGGGAGGAAGGAAAACGGGGAGAAAATTTTTCAGGAGACGGGGGCTGACATTTTTCTTTTTTGTGATTTGCAGGCAGGTTCACACCGGTATGGCCAAGAACAAGAGACAGCCCTATGCCGTGAGCGAGAAGGCTGGTGAACAGACCTCCGCTGAGTCCTGGGGTACCGGTATGTGGGAAAAAAAAATTGGTTCAATTGCGATTGCAGCTGAGAAAATCAGAGCTGGAAGGATGTGTACTCATGGGATTTTGCAGGTCGTGCCGTCGCTCGTATCCCCCGTGTCTCCGGTGGTGGTACTCACCGCGCTGGTCAGGCTGCGTTCGGTAACCAGTGCCGTTCCGGTCGTATGTTCGCTCCCACCAAGGTCTGGAGAAAGTGGCACCAGAAGGTCAACGTTGGCCAGAAGTGAGTATTCTACTTTGAAATTTCTGCAATGCGAGATGGGGGAGGGCAAGACCAGAAGGTCGAAAAGCTGGAAGACCTGATGGAAAGATTGCTAATGAGGAAATATCCAGGCGCTTCGCTACCGCTTCCGCCCTCGCTGCTTCTTCCGTTCCTTCTCTTCTGTTCGCTCGCGGTCACCGCGTTGCCAACGTTGCTGAGGTTCCTCTGGTTGTTGAGTCCAAGACCTTCGAAAACGCCGCCATTGCCAAGACCAAGGCCGCCGTTGCCCTGCTCAAGGCTGTCGGTGCTGGTGCCGACCTTGTCAAGGTCCAGAAGTCCAAGAAGATGCGCGCCGGTAAGGGTAAGATGAGAAACCGCCGCTTCCGCCAGCGCCGCGGTCCCCTCGTCGTCTACAACCCCGAGGTCGACGGCAAGGAGCTCGTCCGTGCTTTCCGCAACATCCCCGGTGTCGAGACCTCTTCCGTCTTCGCCCTGAACCTCCTCCAGCTCGCCCCCGGTGGTCACCTCGGCCGCTTCATCGTCTGGACCTCCTCCGCCTTCGAGGCCCTTGACCAGGTCTACGGCTCCACCACCGCCCCCGCCGCTCTCAAGAAGGACTACTTCCTGCCCCAGAACCTCGTTGCCAACGCTGATCTGGCCCGCCTGATCAACTCGTCCGAAATCCAGTCGGTGCTCCGCGCCCCCAAGGGCGAGGCCCGCACCAAGCGCACCGTTGTGCAGAAGAAGAACCCTCTGCGCAACAAGCAGGTCATGCTCCGCCTCAACCCCTACGCTGCTGCTTTCTCCAAGGAGAAGCTCGGCCAGAAGTCCGTTGAGCACGAGAAGCCTGCGCGCCCCGCCAAGGAGTTCTTCAACACTCTGCGCGAGGAGTAAATTGGCTCGCGGATGCCGGTATGAGTTTGTCTTTTCTATTTACTACGGTTTAAAAAGGTAGCCATCGCAAATGAATCAATGCTTTTGCAATACCCATTTATGTTAATATGATTTTGGTAATCTTCAACTTTGCCCTCGTAGCGTGTTCTTGTTCCCCAAGTAGACAGACATGCATCTCACCCGGTCAATCCGTCTCCCAGGACCAAGGACTCACATCAACCCAAATTGATTACTTCATACAAGCTTCCGGCCGCGATCCTTGCCCACGAACAGAAAACCCCCCTTTTCTCCCGGTTCCACCTCCCAAACACTGATACCCTCGCAAAGGATTACTAAAAGGGAACTCCGTTGTCTATACCGCAGCACCAAAACGGAAACATGGACCCAAAATAAAGTAACACCGGCACAAAGCCAACAGCCACCCCTCCCCCAGGGACCTATCTACTATCTAGGACAGGAATGAATGCCAGCTTATCAATTTTTGGTTTGTGTTTTTTTAATCTAAAAAAAACAAAGAGGAAAAGCCACTTCATCAAACTTCTGGACCGGAGCAGCAGGGCATATCTAGCCGTGGGCCGCACTCCGTACCCGTACCCGTACCCGTTCCTGTATCTATCTATCTATCTATCTAGGGCCTATAGTCTATACAGTATACACATCTTCGTCACCCCCCCAATCTATCTTGTCGAGAGTAGAGGGGACGGTGGCGGTGGCGCTGGCTGTCGGTTCCCCCCCTTGGGATTTTTTGGATTGCGTCAGCCGGTAATGCGTTTAGGTACGGACTTTAATCTTACGGGGTCGGGAGGTCCAGATATCGTTTTTATTATTATTATTATTATTATTATATATATATGTATGTGTATATTTTTTTTGGCCTTTCCTTCTTCGCTCCCTTTCTCCGTGGATTGCTGTCTCAGCAATCAGCGTCTCTAACTAGCTGTAGGGTCGGCTTTAACCTAATTAACATATGCACCCTGGCATGGGTTGGATTACGCCCGATTGGCATGAGACAGGAAGAGGAAGGTGATAACTGGGATTTAGGGTGTCTTAACTCTTAAGAGTAAGTAGTTAAGGCCGGCCGGGCAGACTGGGAAAAGCCTCTCCGGGTTGGGGCAATTTTTTTTTTTTCTTTTCTTTTCTTTTTTTTGGGTCGTTTGGCTTCTAGATCTGGCCCCTTCGCGGAGGGAGGGATATGGAGTACATACGTACCTATAATGCGGATATGATATGGGTTATATAGCGAGGGAGGTGGACGGGGAGCAAGAGGCAAAAGGAGCAGGCTTCGGTTATTTGAGTATCAGGGTCGGTTATGGTTCCCGATAATTTACCTACTTGTTGCAGTTTCTCCTTTTTCTTCTTTGCTTTTCTATATATAGGACCTGGTACATATTTGGTGGCGCAGTTTGTCAGTGGGAATGGGATTAGCTTGACAGGGAGTCAGTTGGTAAGGATATGTAGCACATATCTAGATAGGTAGTATATGTCGTTTAAGTGCTGTCTGATTCTGGACATTGTCGATATCTAAATACCTATATACCATACCTACACTAGAACGGGCTTCACCTGACTTTGTGAAGGATATATAGGTAGTACATACACAGCAACAGACCAGCAGCTTCAACTTCACCTTCAGCTTGACCATCCACTTCCCCCATTTCCCCCCTTTCCCATCTAAATCTGTGCCCTTTTTGAATCGCTTCACGCTTGTCCAGGATTTTCCATGTCCCGACTAACAGGTTAATATACAAGCGTAAGTTCTATTGGCCCACCCGATGGCATGACTAAAACGGAGGATTGAAATCGGGGCGCTTGGCAGGTTGTGTAACCGTTTGCTTTCGGTTCGGATGTGGAAAAAAAAAGAGGACGTGAGGTCTGTGTCCACTGTCCAGTAACTATAATGTTGTATGCAGTGCAGGGTTGAGTCCACAAAGTACAACTGTACAAGTACAGGTTTTTTACTTTTGTCTTCCCCCCGCCCCCCCCCCTTTTGTTTTTTTTTTTTTTTTTTTGTTTACTTATGCCTCTTATTCATGAACCCTGAGGTGTGGTCAGTGGTCAGTGGTCATTGAGGGACTACTACTGGGACTGGGAAGGAGGAAAAAAAAGAGTAGAGGATCGGATCGACGGCTACGGAGTAAGTACCTACTTACTTACTTACGCTCTGCTGAGCTGAGCTGAGTCTGATCAATAATCCCACCGTTTTAATGGGCTTGTGCTCCCCAATGACCCAGGTATACTATATCAACTATGCATCTCCTCCGTCTGTGCTCTTCCCGCGCAACCCCCTCTCTTTTCCTTCTTGCGTCCGGTTTCCGTTGTCCGTGTCCCGGTCAGGGTAGAGCACGATGGGAAAGGGATTCAAAAAGGCAAGAAAAGAAAAGAAAGAGGAAAAAAAAAGAGTCCCTAGTGACGGATAGAGGCTAGGCTTGGGCTTGCTGGCGAGGCATGAGGGCTTACTGTAAGAAGTATGCATGATCTATTTAGTGAGTTTAGTCTCACGGGCCACAGGACGCCTCGCCCCAAGAGGATGTGGGTGTTGAATGCTATCTTTGCTAATGGCCATGTTCTTGCTGGCTCCGGGTAAATTGCTCTCCTCGAAGGTTGCTTTTTCTCTGAAGGGAATAAGAAGGTTGTCACGATGATGCAGACACCATACAGCGTAGACTATACGGAGTAGGTAGGTAGATAACTTAGCTACGTAGGCTTTACGGTGGATATAAATTGCAAGCTGCAAAGGTCACGGAGCTGGATGGAGCTAATGAGAGGTCGATGTGTGTTATATTGAATTTAATATCGGCGGTGCAGGG